AGACGTAGTCGCGGGCTGCAGCTAGTAAAAAAAATAAAGATAAAGGTTGATAACACATTCATATCGATTTTGTACACCTGTAATGGCCTTGTATCAAAGTCACTGTCTATACTTGCCTTGCGTCTATGCTTGCTTAAATCGCTCAATTTCGTGAATCACCAAAGAGCTTGAAGTACGAAATTTTTGTCGCATTTTACGAGGTAAAAATATAAAACAATACACTGCCCGCGTGGGTAATATATTAATGTATTCAAAGAGTTAAGATGTGTCCGTACTAATCTCCAAATAATATCTTTAATAATTATTCACACCTGAATGGGTTTTTACAAAAACACTAAATCTATCCTAGAAGAACCGTTTATTTAACATGGATAAAGTATTTTTTAGTTTCAAGGCCCTATTTATATGCCATCATCTTAAATAAAAAACAAAACAAAATCAATAAATTTATATCATATAATTAGGTATATATCCCACAGTAACGGTGTTTTTTTAGGGATTAGAAATAGCGCAGTGTGAGAAATTTTCCCGCCCATACACGGTCCGTTTCACCATCGCTTGGTGAAAAGAGATCAAAGGAACAAATTGACTTGCACGTTTATAATATTAGTAGGCATAATCCTCAGGGCCCTCTGCTTTAAAGAGTCTATAAATATTGCTATGGGTCCCACGTCACTTGTAACGGTTACAGCAATACGTAACTTTATTGCATGGAATCGGACATTATAACCGTTCGCACGTTCTTTAATTACAGCCAAAACTATTAGTGAAATGAATTACGTAAAGAAACGTTGAAACAATGTAAAATTTGTACTTTTCCACGGGCAGAACATTGTATTCGTTATTCCATGATTGATGCAGTAAAATTGAAGTTAAAATTCGCGTGATTCATAAATAAGCAGGCATAAATAATAATACTGCAAGTTTGATATACATACTCATGTGATATTTTTTTTATGTCAAAAGTTTCCATGCGAGCCGGTGGTTCACCTGATGTTAAGTGAATACCATGGACATCTGTTACACCTAAGGGTTTGCAGATGCGTTGTCAACCTTTTGAAAATTTGGACCTCACTTACCAGACGAAACGCAAGAGTATTACACTTCCACTTTACGCCGGTCTTCTGTGAGGTCGTGGTACTTACCCGGACGAGCCTGCCCATTCGTATGACAAATACTTTCGCGTTTCGTCTGGTGAGTGAGATAGCCGGAGCTCAATTTTCAAAAGGTTGTCAACGCATCTGTAACCATCAGGAGTAGCCATCTGCTCCATGGGCGGCGGTATTCACTTAACTTGACTCTGACATCAGGTGAACCGTCAGCTCGCTTGTCAACTTTGCACATAAAAAAAGTCGTTTAGGTACTATGTCGAGGCGTAAGTCCAAACTGGAGGAGACTTATTAGGAGAGGTTATTAATAAACACAAGGAGTGAAACTTGCTGAAGGACGCTTCCTGTTACCTTGGAAAGAAAGAGCAAAATACAGATAGGTCACTACAATAAAGGCACTTTGGGACTGGACGCACGAGAGTTTTCCGTCATTGGGAAGCTAAAATAATCTTATCTATCGTGTAAAATTAAACCCCATGTAATATTCGCTTTCGACGTCAAAACATAAACAGTTTTTTTGTTCTATTTAAAGTTTTCACGTAATTATAAGAAAACAATTACTGAGTCGCTTATGGTGATGTAACGCCGCCATTAGGCTGAAACCTAACGAGATATTGGAGGCAAGAAAAAGTATCGTAATTTATGCAATCGCAATTCCACAGGATCACGACATCGATGATGGAATCGGTGCATCGTGGCCGTCGTCAATAGGCGTAAAAATATGCTGAGAATTAAAAAAAAATCAATCGTATTAATCAAGAAAACTATATGTGAAACGTATTTATTTAAAATTTCTACATCTAAACCACTTCTTCGCAAATTCTGACAAGTCCAGAGAAGAAATCCTTCTATATTTTTTCCATGCGACCTTAATAATAGTATGAAATATAAAGTAAAAAGCCACAGCCTATACATGTCCCACTGCTGGGCAAAGACCTCTTTGGACTCTATACAGATTTTGTTATGTTACCCACACATCTGTGGGTAACAACAAAATCTCACGATGTTTTCCCTCACAGCTGAGCACGTGATAAGTCAGCCCTTAAAATCAACAATTTTAATGGTTCCGGCACCCAGAATCAGATATTGACCCGACTGTGTGCGATGCTCATAGATCGTACAGGTTGATAGGGTTCAGCCAAAAAGGAATAGATAGGTATTGGTATGTTCTAGTGGTGGTCGTACTTCGGATCTAAGGTCACAGGGTCGAATTAAGGGCCTTTGAGATTACCGTCGATTAAAAATGCCAAAGACCTGTTATGGATTTGTCTCAGATTTCTGCAGCAGGAACTGTATTGTCCGTTAAGGTTAAAAAAAATTTTTACAGCATGACTAAACAGCCAGTTAGCATCAGGTGTTACCAACTGCAAAATAGTATATACTTGAGTTGTAATGATATATTGTGTATGAATTACTCTGGTCCGGAAATTTACCAGTACGTTTTAAAGTACTTATGGAAACTTGGAAACCGTATCACTTGATGCCAAAGTCGAGTATACAGTAATCTGTCGAGTAAACAGTGATACTATCAAATAAAAAAAAAACAGTGTCTACATTTTAAGTGCGGGTACTGTACAATACTGGCACAATTGGCTCAATTATTTTTTTTTTCTTTTTTTATGTTAAAAGTTGCCAATCGAGCAGACGGTTCAGCTGATTCTAAGTGAATACCGCCGCCCATGGATATCTGCAACACCCGAGGGTTTGCAGATACGTTGACAACCTTTTTGGATATTGAGCTCCGGCTACCTTACTCACCAGACGAAACGCGAAAGTACTAGACTTCCACTTTAGGCCGGTCTTCTGTGAGGTCGTGGTACTTACCCGGACGGGCCCGCCCATTCGTGCAACAGCCGAGGCTACTGCGTGGGCCTACCACCGTTTCTGAACTTGTACTACTGTAGGGTAACATTGTCGAGAGTTGTTAACAATTAACCGTGTGTCACGCAATTCTTGCCACGTATGGGAATCGAACTCACAAACCTGTACGCCGAATCCAACAGCCCAGCAACTGCACCAACCACTTAATGAAGATAATTTTGGGTATAGTGTTATGAAAAACAAATGATGTATAGGCTCCATTTATTTTCCTAAAAACGGACATTTATAAATCACATACAAATATAGGCTCAATGTATGTTCACTCGAGGTTATTACAAACATAACTAAACTATATATAAATATGCTACATGTTGTACAAAAGTTCGCAATATACATTGTAGCAATCATCTCTCCGAACGAAGAAAGTGACAATATTTAGAGGAGGCATAGTGAAACGAAACAGCCAAACACCACAAATTAAATATTTGTACTGGTTAATATGGCACTAGCTGTATCAAAATTGACACCCGTTTAGTCCAATGACCTCATACGCTACAATAAAAATAAAAAAATTAAGTACATTGATATAAAGACTTTTTAATGAAGCTTAAACATGTATGAATTGTTTTCTTTTATTTAGCACCATTCACGCAGTGGGCGTTTTTACATAAATATTATCCTTTAGATCTCATTTTACAAGGCTATGTAAGATAGGGTAGAGTAAAGTTTTCGGTTTTACTGGGGTAACTCAGTTTTTATAATACAAATAGTAGTAATGTAGTTGATACAGAATTACAAATACAGTTTACGTTTCACTAATACAAATTATTTATTATAAGAAAAACAATTGTACTTAGTGATAAATTATGCTTTATGTAATCTTATATATATAATAAAAAAAAGTTGTGACGAAGAAAGTAGTAAAAGGATTTCATTTTGTAAAATATCGCAATATCTTGGTCACCACACCATTATTAATTTTTTACAGCAACTTTTCACTTATTTCTTACAATCTTAACTCTATATTAGAATAAGAAACTCACAGTTCCTATAAAGCGGCGTTGTTAGAGCCTCCCTAAAGTTACCTTATAAGTTATTTACAATCACAGACTAAAAATCAACAAAATAAAGAAGAGTTTTATCAACTAAATAACCTATAAACAAAGATTAAGTCTGGTACCATTCCAAACAAAATTATTATGTAAATAGTAAATAGTAGTATGTATATAGTAATAAAAACGAAGTTTGAAAAATGTTTTGTGCTTTTAGAAAAGGGCGCGATAAAAAAAAAACAAAGTAAATTCAGGATAGAATACAAATATATAAATATTTTTCTACGGACACACCAGAAAAGACCTATTAGGAAATTAAAGCTTCACAGATGCTAAAACTAAACTCAACGTTTCCGAACTTAATAAATCATCATAACCTTTCTAGAGATTTAACCATTGACAATTTTTAATATGATCGAACTCTGATTTTTACGAGTTAACAAACCAATAAAGTTAAAGAGTAACGAAAAAATAGAAAAAAGCATCACACTGGCAGATTTCATAAAACAAATTAGTTTTAACGTTTTTAACATATGAAATAAAACAGAGACGACATATAACGTGGCGCTACTAAGCGACCATAAATCAACACACATATAGAGGATAATTTTTTAAAATGATATTAAACATTTATTATCTTTAATTATCAATATTTACCGACTTATTAAATTTTCCAAAACAAATCATTTTAGAACACCCTTATATATAAAACTGTAACGTAAAGTTCATTTGTAAAGGTCACAAAGCATATTAATTCTTTGAATGAATTTAAAAGAGTAAAACATACTGTTAGAAGAAATAGAAGGAAGTCTCTGAATGTATGAATCTGTCAGTTTTAGGTATATAGGATTTCACAAATTTTGTTTCTTTTTTAGTTAATTAGTTTGTTTGAAAATGTTTTTTGTTGTATGTCAATGTAGTTTTATGATTATTGGCAAGTAGCGTAAGAGGTGTGTTCATTTATTGTCGCGGTTGCGACGCCACGCCGTATATAGATTATGCCAAAGCGATGCGGTCAATGCTGCATTCGGGACAGGGCCTCCAGGTTGCTGTGGTGGGAGTCGATCCGGTTCATGTTCGCCTTCAGCTCGTCCCGGGACCTCGGCGAGGAGTTGGGCGCGGCCACCTCCGACTCCTGGGCCAGGTTGTTCCTCTCCATGGTGAGAAACTCCTCGCGGGAGCCGTTCAGCTGCGGGGGAATCCCCAGCTCGGAGTAGGAGAGGTCGCAGTTCGACACGGACTTTAATTTGTCCGTCGACTCCAGGCCTGAGGAGAGGGACTTCGACGGCGACATCGGGTTCAGGTCTGAAAGTTGTGTTCCATTCAGAATTTTTTTTATTTATTTTTTTTAGAAAACATTGCCCCTATTTTTTTTAAGGGACTTGCGTAATCTGCATGTCAGTCTCATATTGCCCTTACTTTGGGATGACAATATCCTGTATTGTAAGGAAGTTTTACAAACGCAAATTTCAAGTGGACAAACACCCAGAAGCGACTATCTGTGGATCACACAAATGGTTGTCCCGTGTGAGAATCGAACTCCCGACCCCCGACGCCGAGGGCCAATACCTTGGCAACTGCGCCACGGAGTCATCAAGTCATCAATTGTAATAAGGGATGAACTTGTGGGGCAAACTATTGTCTGCTGGATAAAGGCCTCCTATGTACAGAGGGTGTTAGGGCATAATCCACCACGCGCCCCAGTGCGGAATTTGTCTTCGAAATATTTTTTGTTTGTTATTATTTCGAAAATATGCAGGATTTTACCACTGTCTCACGCTACAAATTTTCTTCTTGTCAGTTCATGTTTCTTACACGGCCAAAATACAAGGTATTTGCGGTGGTAGGGCCACGTAGCAGCCTCGGCTGTTGCACGAATGGGCAGGCCCGTCCGGGTAAGTACCACGACCTCACAGAAGACCAGCGTAAAATGGAAGTATGACAAATACTTTCGCGTTTCGTCTGGTGAGTAAGGTAGCCGGAGCCCAATTTTTAAAAGGTTGTCAACGCATCTGTAACCCTCGGGTGCAGCAGATGTCCATGGGCGGCGGTATTCATTTACCATCAGGTGAACCGTCTGCTCGTTTGGCAACTTTTCACATAAAAAAAAATTATTATTATTGTCACCATCGTCGAATCGGTGACTTCAATTTCTTCCAAATTTTACAAGGATGCAATGAAACAGTTACTTCAATTACCTTTCTTCTAATGCTACGCATCTCGCTATGTTAAATGGTAATCTGTTGATTTATGGTGACTATAAATAGACGATTGATGATTCTAATACACGTTAAAACTCTAATAAGTTTATGTTCGTATTTTTTGTAAACTGTATTTTCTTATACAAATAAATTAATGTCGAAATATTTGCATTTTAACTGAAGTTAGGCTACGGAACAGTCTTCGTTGGTGCTCCAATTGGCAGGTCCGTCCGTGTAAGTACCACGACCTCACAGAAGACCGGCGTGAAGTGCAAGCTTTATACTTCTGCGTTTCACCTGGCGATTGAGGCTAAGTGTATTCAAATAATGTTCAAATAATGTAGCAAAAGTGTAGCCATTTTAAAGATTATAGTCGTAATTACTCACCTTTAAGCAGCTCCGGCTTTGAGTTCTGTTCGCTGCGATCGTCCTTGTGGTCCTTCGGCAAGGACGAAGAGCGGGCGGTTGGCAGCATGCCCAGCACCCTGATGCAAATACAATACAATACAATCAAAACAAATTATAAAATATATAATAATATGCTAAAAAAACCTGTTAGGAGCATTTTTGATGACCACGTGGCGCAGTTGTCAAGGTCTTAGCATTGGCGTCGGGGGTCGTGGGTTAGATCCCCACACGGGACAAGTATTGTGACCCACACACAGTGGTCCACGTAAAATTTATGAATTAATGAATGAATGAATACTTTTATTGTCCACCACACATAAAAAGATACACAAAATTAACAATAGGCAAAAATGATTAATGGAATGCATAATTTGGCGGCCTTATCGCTTCATAGCGATCTCTTCCAGGCAACCAATGGCGTAAAGGAACGTTTATTACGTAGGTGGTGCAATATATATGTGGTTGTTTTTTTTAAGAATATATGATTTTTATAGCGAGAAAAGTTTTCCAATAGCTTCTATTGCACGATTGGTTCGGCGGAGTGGGTACTCCAACATTTCCCCACAAAAAGTAGGCTTAAAGTAAAATTATTTGGAGAATCCTAATTAGGAAATAGCTGAAATTATACAGAATCAGATATTATACAAAGCACAAAATAAAAAAAATATAATCTATATAAAAAAAAGTAAAGTAACAGTCTATACATATCCCACTGCTGGGCAAAGGCTTCCTCTATACAGAGGGTATCAGGGCATAGTCCACCACGCGGCCCCACTGCGGATTGACGGACCTCACATATCTTCGAAATATATATTTTTTTGTTATTATTTCGAAAATATGCAGGTTTCCTCACGATGTTTTCCTTCACCGCGGAGCACGTGATAAGACAGCACTTAAAGTTAAAAACTTCATTGGTGCCGGCACCGGGGATCGAACTCAGGTTGCTCGAGTATATTGAATTAAAGGCGAGCGCCCGGACACTGAACTATCACGGCCCATAATCTATATAAAATACAATAATTGTTTTTGACTTACCTAGAATATGCAATAATATTAAGTAACGTTCAATCTTACGTTATCTCAAAAAATTTGTATTTTAACTCTCATAAAAATTTTAATCACATTTGAATTTTCTTTTTGTATCCAATTATACGAATCTGTTATACAAACTGGATACATAAAACAACCATATTATACACTTTTTGTATCGATCTGGCGGCCCTGCAAAAGGGGTACAAGTTCGCAAAGGAAAGTAACATATACCCTATGGGCCCCTGCAAGAGGGGTACAAGTTCGCAAAGGAAAGTAAACATATACCCTATGGGCCTCTGCAAGAGGGGTACAAGTTCGCAAAGGAAGTAACATATACCCTATGGCCCTCTGCAAAAGGGGTACAAGTTCGCAAAGGAAAGTAACATATACCCTATGGCCCTCTGCAAAAAGGGTACAAGTTCGGAAAGGAAAGTGAACTTATGCCTTATGGGCGTCCTACCTGGAGCTGCCCAGGTCGCCGAAGGGCGTGTCGGGGCGGTGGGGCGGCGGCGAGGAGCGCGGGCTGCTGCTCTCCTCCGCCCAGCCCTCGCCCACCAGCGCCTCCGCGATGTCCAGCGTCGACCCGCCTGTCGTACATAACAATCGCCCGATTCATTTACCCACTAAAACTACATCACCGGTCTCCAGTGATCAATTACAAGCCCACACGCGATCTCGAAGAAAGTTGCGTTGCTTTTTTACTTAGCTGGATAAATATTATGTATCAATAACTTGCAAAGATGTACGCCGCAGAGGGTGAAAATATTGGAGTAATCTGTATAATAATATATATAAATAATAAATATTTAAACACTATGGTCATCACACAACACATATTTTTCCAGTAGTGGGGATCGAACCTCTTGCGCAAGAGGCAAGTACACTTCCCACTGTGCCTTTCGGGTCGTATTTTGAATACTGTTATTATTATTGTGAGAAGGTGGCAATCGATATGGCAGTTCACCCGATGTTATGTGACAACCGCCTCGCATGAACATTTGCAGCACCCGTTGGGTTACAGATGCGTCGCACACTTTTTAATAAAGTGGGAAAATGTGAGCCCTGTCTACCTCAATTACCAGGCGACAGAAGTGTGACACTTCGCGGTACTTACCCGGACGGACCTGCCCATTCGTGCCACAGCCGAAGCTGTTACGTGGGTCACACAAACAGATTTTCCGTGTGGGAATCGACCCACGGACATTAATATATATATATATATATATATATTGAAAAACACAAGCGCGAGTTCGAACTCCGAAGCGTCGAAAGTTTTCAAAAAAAATTAAAATGAATTCTATAATTCTTTTAACTTTAACATTTTTACTAAACAAGTTCGTAATGACGTTCTGAATAATGGTAATATAAAATACCTTCGCTGACGTCGAAAAGTTTGATTCCGGGTATTTCCTTCTCCCTCTCGCCGCCAAAGGCGATCGACTTCTTGTACGTGCAGGTTTTCGACAACAGGGGCTTCCATCGTGCCACCTGGAATCGATTTAAAATCATTTACAGCTGTACGGCATTTCGCATTTCCTATAGACGGGAGGAATCGCCTAACAGAAGACCAGTGCAATAGACGGGAGCAGCAACCTCATAAAAGGCCATTGCAAAGTAGACCCTTCCAATAGACGAGAGGTGGAACCACCTCACCCAAGTACTCAAAGCGGGTGTGGACACTCTATTGTGGGGCTTTGATATAACTGAAATCATGTGTATCATATCGATGGTGGTATTGGCTATAGTTTTTTTTATGATCGGCCACCTGCCTGACGTCAATTCTCGGGTTGTGGGTCACACAAGTACTTGTCCAGTTTCGGAACTAAACCCGCGACCCCCGCGGCGAAGTTGATAGTTTAGCCACTGCGCTACGGAGTCGTCACATCGAGAAATGCCATTAAAAGTATACTAAAGTGATAAACCTTCAAATTGAAATAGTCCTTACGATAAAATGCGAAATATTATGGTAGTGTTACAACATTCACTACGAAGTAAACGTACCATATTTACTATATATTTTTTTTTACTTTATTTAAGCACACGTCATTCTGGAAAACGCCCGTGCTATTCGAGGGTATATAAATTATTCGTGATTTAATAAGCCCTTAAAGGCAAATGAAAACAACAACAGAAACATTATACTCTAGGACATTATAAAAATATTCATTTTTAGAGTTACGATGTTGCCACGTCAAAAAAAAAGAAGCAAAAAAAATTGTCGATGAAAATTAAATAAGTTACCTGCGTCAACTCTTCGAATCGCTCGACGGCCTGCGAGTGCCATTGGTTGCTGCCTCCCGCAGGTTTAACGCCGGCCAGGAAACATTCCATCGCCTGCCCAGAACAAAAATAATCACCACGGAGTAAAAACCCATTGTATTCCAACGAGGGATTGGTTTGAATGAACGCGAAAATGTATACTAATAAAAACCTCAAGGTAGTGTTTTTTTTTTCTTTCTGTTTACGAACCGGTATAATCAAAATGGGCTTTTTTTGTTAATTACACTAATCTTAATTTAAATTTATTGAGAATTATTTTCTACTTTTTAGTTCGGCTATAAACATTAGAGCGTTTCTAATTATTAGTTTTCTGAAACTATTATTTACTTTATTTTTTTATTTCGGCCAATCGGTCCTTGATAAGTGTGCAATGTCTCAATTTAATTCGACGTTTTGAAGTAAGTCAAAATCGCGCTCGCGGAAATTGTTACATACAAACAAACATACACACCATTACCGAGCTCACAAAAGCGTGTTGCAGAAAAATACCTGGAACCGCAGACGCAGCAGATCCGCACGTAGCTCGCAGAGCTCTTGTATGGCGACGTACTCGTTGTCGCCGTAGTCCAGGAAGAACAAGTCCGCAACCTGGGGTAGAATTAGAAAAATCGTAAAAAAAATCGCATTGTTCGTTCGCTAGAGTGAATCGTTCACGTGTTCTTTGGAAATATCTAAAGAAAAGGGATGTCCGTTCGTTCGAGAAAATAGTAAAGGAAACGCATTAAACGGACGAAGCGTTCTTTTACGATTTACTGAAAATCGTAACACAAAAAAGCATCGTCTGTTCTTTCGCGTAAATCGTTAAAGGACCAACAATCACTTCTTAGACCGGTATGTCTAGATTGCGTGAGTTTTGTATCAATTATATAAAGCACGTACCCACTTGGAAAGAATTTCTGAAATATATCATTTGGAAGGGTTAAATAATACTTGTAAAATTAATGAAAATAAGTCACTCATGTAACATTGACATAACTAATTCTTATGTGACGAAAGGGTATTAAATCTTCTGCTGTTGGACACGTCCCCAACCAACTCCGAGACCGTCATTTCATTTTTAATGAGGTCGGGAAGTATGGTGTACTCCAGTGAGTGATCTCTACGAAACGCAGTATTAATTGAAATAAGCATTATTAGAGCCGTGATAGCTCAGTGTCCGGGCGCTCGCCTTTAGTTCAATATACTCGAGCAACCTGAGTTCGATCCCCGGTGCCGGCACCAATGAAGTTTTTAACTTTAAGTGCTGACTTATCACGTGCTCCGCGGTGAAGGAAAACATCGTGAGGAAACCTGCATATTTTCGAAATAATAACAAAAAAATATATATTTCGAAAATATGTGAAGTCCGCCAATCCGCAGTGGGGCCGCGTGGTGGACTATGCCCTGATACCCTCTGTACAGAGGAGGCCTTTGCCCAGCAGTGGGAATGTATTGGCTGTTACTTTACTTTACTTTAAGCATTATTAACGTTTCTGAGTGGGGTAAACGGGGCTCACTCGTTTGAGGGATAGCAATGCACCTGCAAACTCATAGGTGTATTAGATGGTAAGCAAGGGTAATCACTTAGCGTAACACAAGAATTGCATCGGTCGTTCGCTGTAGAGCCCGACGCGAGCTACCCCATGAAAACTAAACCGGTCGGTTGACTGTAAGACTAAGAGTAGTGGACACGGTAGACAAGCCTGTCAGCCAAAGTACGAGTCACGGGCGACAAACCTGTCAGCCAAAGTAATAGACACGGGTGACAAGCCTGTCTTCACAGTATGAGACACGGGAGACAGGCCTGTCAATCAAATGAGACACGGGAGACAAGGCTGTCAGCCAAAGTATGAGACACGGGAGACAAGGCTGTCAGCCAAAGTATGAGACACGGGAGACAAGCCTGTCAGCCGAAGTATAAGACACGGGAGACAATCCTGTCAGCCGACGTAGGAGACACGGACGACAAACGTGGCTGTACTGCTGCTAAGCTGAAAGTACAAGTACAGTAACAAAGGGGTCAGCAAACCAGCTGCGTCGCGTCGAACTCGTTGGGCCTAATCTCTTGGACCCTCGCGCGGTACCAGCGCCCGTCGTGGCGGAACACGGCCGCCACCACCTGGCCCACGCAGACCTGCTTCAGCTGCGAACAGAACGGGATCTATTGGTCCAGGCCGCTGGTCTGGAAACCGCGACGGGACGATTATGCTTTGTGTGGCCCTTCCACACAAAACATAATCCATACATTGGGCAGTAGGTCCCAACGAGCACTGATGACTGAAGATCTTGTTAGATTGTAGTCTTTCCTTCGAAACTAGATAGCCTCCCCCAAACCAACAACCCTAACGAAGTTTACGATCGATGAGGGGCTAAGATTCTGGGCTTCCTAGATTGTCTACTTGGGTCCACAATTCCCGACTCCTAATATTGACCAGGGCATCGCATTAACAAATTATGTGAGGCGATGCCCCGGTCGGAGTCATTAACGCTCTCAAGAGTTGTCGAGTTCTAAATGTTGTACACACCTGTTATAGGTGTAGATATTAGGTCCAATGTTTTTTTATATTTTCCTTTATGTAAATTTTGTAAATATTTATACTATTGGTGTGTCTATAACAGTTAAATCACATCTTTATCATCAACTTACCTTCCCTGTGAACACGTCTTTAGGAGGATGAATTGTTTGCCTGATGGCTTTAAGAGCGAAACAGCTCAGAGGATTAGTAAGCTGAAGTTGCAATGGGCCGTTCGTAGAACCGATAACCGATGAGGAAGAAAGGTTCTCGAGAGCTCAAGGCCATCGCAGTTTAGGACGACTTGCCTTACTAGATGGAGTGCCGACATCGGAATCGTGGCAGTCTGTGGGAGACTACTACGTTCAGCAGTAAACTCGAACAGGCTGAATTGATGATGATGACAATGGTGATGATGAGGAGGAGGACCATGATTCGTGGCAGTCTGTGAGAGAGGCCTACGTTCAACATAGGAGTCGAGCAGGCTGAAACGATGATGACGATGATGATAATAAAGATGATGAGGAGGATCGTGATTCGTGGCATTCTGTGATAGAGGCCTACTTTCAACAGAGGACTCGAAAAGGCTGAAATGATGATGATGATGATTATTATGATGATAAAGATGATGATGAAGCGCTTACCGCGTGCGCCTCCCTGTTCTCCTTGTTGCCGTAGTACTCGGTCATGTGGGCGACCAGGTCGTCCAGCTGCGCCACTTGGGGGCCCACGAACTGCACCCAGAAACGGGACGGCGACGACACGGCGGAGACGTACACTTCGATGGACGGCACCGAAGGCTCTGACGAAGACCGGAAGGTTAGGTGGAGAAAGCGAAAGCCTCTCTTTATGGAGAAGGAAATCAAAAAGGTGGCAACCCTATGGGTGTTGCTTATGTCCACGCAAAAAGGTGGCAACCCTATGGGTGTTGCTAATGTCCACGGGCAGCAGTTATCTCTTAACATCAGACCGATCGCTTGCCACCTTCTCGCATAAAAACCCATTGGTGGTGCGACAATTAGGTAATTCTTAGAGGAGTTGGCGAAAGTAAACGACGCACTCGATAATAAGTGATCCGCCGAATAGGTAACGCCTTCTTGTTATGCTATGCTATTAATGTTTGTCTTTTTTTTTAAAGATCTCTAAGCCATATCGATTATCGATCGACAAATATGATTGCAACACTGAATCGCACTAAGGGGATTTTGCGCAACAGAAATTTTCATGAAACACGCAAAAACGTCGAGTGTCGGAAGTCCATAAGGACAATTTTAAGTTGCTTTATTTCATTATCAATCAGCACCTAATGTAGAAAGTAGATTGTTCAAATGGACACTGATCATAAGCTCACGTGATATCCCATTCCACCTTAACCTTCACTCATAATTGAATAAAATCTACCACCTGTCATTTATAAAAAAAACATAAAATCAGGATAAGCACTTTAAACAGGGAGAATGATTAAGATATGTAGAAAAAGTACGAAAAGATTGTCGCCGTTGTGGGAATCGAACCCACGTCTTCGGCATTCGCGGCCTGACGTTTTAACCACTAAGCTAAACGGTTGATTGAATTGAAACGGGTAAGGGAGAATGATTTTCGTCTAAATACCCGGAAGAAAAAATTTACTGATATCTAACAAAGTAAGTATATACTTATAAAATTGAATTATATCGATTTAATTTTTAATAAGACGACATTTAAATGTTTCAAACGACTCAGAGTTATGGATCGTGAAGCGATGCGTATTAGAAAATACTGACCCATAAATAAAAAATTAAATATATATCAAGGAAAATTATACATGCTTTGAAAATTTCTAAATATGTTGATATATGCTATATTAACGAGAATAAGAACATTTAAATTACATTACCCAAATTCGATGGAATACTTTGGGATTATTTTCATTCATATATATAACTTTTATTAAACTATAAAAAAACATATTAAAAGGAGTGCAGGAAAAAATGTGACCAATAACTAAACAGTGCATAAATAAATGGCATGCCAATGTCACACAAACGAAAACAATCGACACTAAAATCACATGTGAATTATGGTACAGAAAAACAGGACGGTAACAAATCACACCTTAGTACCCCCGAAAAACCAGTGCAATTTCCTAACAATACTACCTTACAAGGCTTTACTCCAGAACTCATCACAAATGTTGCCATATACAACCTCCCGTCTTTGCTGCAGTGCCTAATTTGTCTGTGATGAAACGCAACCTTTATCTAAAATAATCGTCGCCCAGTAACACTGTTTTTTTAAATATAAAATAAGAAATATAGTTGCTATTACAACAAGAAATTGAAATAACTATTTCCATAGTAAACGACGTTACTAAGGTGAAAAGATAAAAGCTACTGTCACTTCCATGGCTGAAAGATCATTGCCTATAAATTTTGAGAATGATATATTTCAAGAATTATAGAAAAATATAACTATAACAATTCTTATTAACATAGCACGTGTTCAATAATGTAAATTATAAATTTAAAAATGTAACTCTACTGATTATAAATTTAAAAAAGTAACTCTACTGATTGGTGGGTCACAAAGCTTTAAGTAATTTCTTCATTTATTTATATTTCGAAGCAATTACCAACAAGGATTACAAATGGCGAACTTATGTCATTAGGCATTCTCTACCACTGAAAAATAGACATTAAATGGAATTGATAAAGGTTTAATTAAATAACTTAGTTAATTTAAAGGTAAAACTGTCAAAAAGGAGTTACAGGTAAATGTCAAAAAGTTGTCATCGGTTGCTATAGTAACGCAACTATTAGTATTCGCAACCGAATGATGTCGCTTTTAGGTCTCGGTGTGTAAAAGTTCTCTCTCAGCGTTATTCCAAACGCACCAAAATTATGACTTCAAAAGACCTTTCAGCCACAGAAGAGTTTGCGGAGGGGGGGGGCAAAGGAAGGTAGGTGCATGCAGTTAGTCTTACCAGGCCGCTTATACTTGGCACGTGTGAGGGCAGGTCTACCTGGGGTCTCCTGCTGGGCGTGGGACGTGGGCGGCGGGATGGCCACGCGTGGGGTGCGCTTCGACTGCTCTATCTCGCGGCGGCACTTCTCCTGCGCCACCTGCAGAATTACTTGTTACCACGGCCAGTAAAGCACACTTATTTTGGACCGCAAAATTTCAAGTAACACCCTGACACAAAAAACTCTACTGGTAGCTAAGAACCTTCTTGATCACGTCAGCTTTCAAACAACAGTACTATAGATTATAATACTTATTTCTATTACATTATCAAGCTACACTCAAATATACAACGTGATTTTATAGACGATGGAAATGTTAACAGAGCATATGTAGAATTTGATTCTATATCTGAATGTCGTACGTACTTGTGACCTCATATTTATTTTTAAAAGATTATTTTTATTTTTTTTAAACATTATGGACACCTTAAGAAGTTCCTGCCTTACCGTCTCAATCAATAACCTATTGACGAGCACTAAAACTTTTTGCAGAACGCATAATTACTAAGCCGTTTATCAATAGGGTGACCACTCTAAACGCGATAAACAATGTTTGAATAGATATTTTTCTGGTTATTTCTTGTCAAAATAAAATATTAATATTTTTTTTTGAATTATGGAATGCTCAATTAACTTTATGTCAAAGTATGTACTTCGTCTAAAAAAAATCATCCTGTATACAGACATATTACTGTATAGAACATACGATGACCAGTGTTATAAGAGCAAAACATGTATGTCTGCGGTAGCTTGCCATAATATAATATATAGCACGTGAAAGCGTCCAGATCTGAAACACTCACACACGTCTCTATGAGTCCCTTGGCCACGCCGATCTGTTCCTTGGTGCCACGAAATGAGATCTGACGCTGGCCGCTGACGTCACCCGCGGTTCCGGATTCGATCTTGACGCGAGCGCCGCTCCTATGGCTTATGTCATTTATGTTCTCACCCCCGGTGCCTGGAACGACACAAAATTTTATAAAAAACAATACTGTACAAATCCGATTTCACTAATAGCCAATAAGGAGCCACAGAAACCTCGCTCGCCCCCAGGTGTGTGAAGGAGACGATAGAGAGACTTCTCTTTCGCACATGCATTACACAACTCCCGTTGCAGACTTTGATTCTACGTTATAATTGAGTACTCTTATGATCTTTCATATAAGAAGTAAAAATGTTCACTGTCTGGATCAATCAGCACGTCTTGAAAAACTTGCACACTAAGAGAATTGGAAAGTGTGAGAAGAAGATTTTCGTTCATTTCGTCTCCAATATAATTTTATCCGCGACCATTAAAGTATCAAGTGTTCTTCCGGTGAGGTAGTTGCAGCTTACTATATTCATGGCTTCAATTTTTTACATTTGTTCATACATTACAGCAGATTAACAACTTTCCGTGACGTAAGGAAGTTTTACGTACGCGAACAAACACCCAGATCCTGACCAATTTGATGGCTCCGTGGTGCAATTGCCAAAGGGTTGGCTTCGGCGTCGGTGGTCGTGGATTCGATTCCCACACGGACAACTATTTGTGAGACCCACAGATAGTTGTTTCGCATCTGGGTATTTGTCCGCGTGTAATTTATGTTTGTAAAACGTCCTTACAACACAGGATAATGTTATCCTAAAGTAAGGGCAATGTTTTATTAAAAAAAAATTGAAGAGAATCATCTGCGTGTCGCACGAACACTTCTCCCGTGCGGGGATCCCCAAGAGCCAACGCCAATGGCAACAACAACTGAACCTTCGAGTCATCGCACATTACCTATGATCCTGCCGCATGCCCACGCTGGGACCGTCATGCTGTCCTCCTCGAAAACCGGCTGCTGTTTTATGAATTCGTGTATCATCGTCTCCGCGAGCTGCGTCGCCTCACTTCGGCCCCTGATGATGCAAACGTCGTACTCCTTGTCGCTGAACTTCTTGAAATGGATCATAGCACCTGTTTTCCTTTCGATGTCTTTTATGTTTGCGCCACTGCGACCTAAAAAGTATAAGATTACATGATTTATCTTTATATTAATACGTTATCTATATATTAATAAGTGAAGCAGAAACTTTGTGCCCCTTTTGACGAAAATTGCGCGGACGGAGGCAATTTCCCACACTTATAGTTTGAAGGGGTGCAGATTGCTAGGATTTTGTTTAAATTATGCATAAAAATACATAACATCAAGCAATCTTTTCGCACTTTTTCTACATATTTTAATACATAACATCAATAAAAAAAAATTACACACACTAGCATGTATAATTAATTATAGTCGAATTTCAACCACTGGGCGACCACTGATAGTAAATAATTATATACCAGCGTCCGTCAGGTTAACGCAATTGAATTAATGAAGACTTGAATATTTGACGATTACATATATTTTTTTCAAATTTTTTTTTTGGATGCTTGAATGCGTCTTTTTCTTCTACAGTAGGCAATTCAGAAAACTGATGATAACCTAATGCGAGTACGGTAATTAAGTACATTATTAGGAGGAAGCGATGGCTGGACGTTGTGAAGCAGGAGAGCCAATGGACTGACCCATGATGATGTCAAAGATCGGGCAAGGTGGAGGAGTTTAAGTAGGAAAGCAGACCCTGGCAATATCTGGGATACATGTTAGAAATAGAAGAAGAAGAAGTTATAATGATGTAAAGTACATATTATGTGAATGTAAATGTTTAATACAATTTTAAAAAGTTATCCTCTATCAAGGGCGGATCCAGCTTTGGTGCCAGGGGGGGGGGGGGGGGGGGGGGTCACGTAGTCGTGGTCAAATGATAAGAAGTTATAATTTAATTTTTATAATCATAGACACAAGTAAAAAGTAGGTATTTTGATCCGACTTCAAAAAGGAGGAGGTTATCAATTCAGATGTTTATATTTTTTATGTATGTTCGGGCATAACTTCGTCACATATAGACGGATTTGCAAAATTCTTTTGTTGTTCATAACATTTCGTCACTTTTTATTATCATATATACAGGGTGGATTTTATAAAGTTGCCCAAACTCACACAGGAGGTTCAGACTCGGTAGTATAATCGTTTATTGAAATAAAACCAAACTTTTTTTTTTAAAGATTGGTATTCTATTCCCTAAAAAACAGAACTTGTTGACAATGCGGTAGTCATTCATAAATGCGTCGTATACTTTTGGATGGATACACTTAGAAAAGCCTCTTTGTATAGTATTTTTTTCTATTTAGTAGCTATTGGTAGGCTTACCTATTTTTGAAATTTCTTTTTATTTAAATATTCGTTACCAGATCTCCTAAAATAGCCGTACACAAACTAAAATTACATTGTCCACGTTAAAAATATGTTCATAAATAACAAAAAAACATTTATTCAATCATTCATTCATTCATTCATAATATTCAGCGCTCATCCATCGAATCAAAGACAGAATCCATATTCATAACAAACGGTACGAACAAATTTTATTTCCCAAAGGTGGGGTGGCATACTCACGTCCACTAAACCACCACCCCTCACCACCCATCAAAAACGGTCCACCCATTAAGACGAATCAAACTCGACGCAGTTGTGTTCCTTAATTATTGAGTTCCTATGGTCACATTCCAGCTCTGCTAGACTAGACCCTAATTTAGATGGATGGCACCGAAAAACTCGTCATGACGAATCAAACGAGCCGAGACACAATAGGGTTGCGTCGTTTCTTTACTGAGTTCATATGAGTATCTTCCAGCTCATCAGATCAGACCCTGGTAACTATCTAAAAATTAAGTACTCGCCAAGACGAATCAAACGAGCCGAAACTCGATGGGGTTGAGTCGTTTCATTGCAGAGTGGTCATAGGAACCTCACAGAATAGCCTCATAGACCTCACAGAAGATTGCGATAAAGCGCTTCTGCGTTTTGTCTGGTGAGTGAGGTAGCCGGAGCCCACTTTATTATAAGGAGAAAACTGCAACCCTATGCATATGTCCATAGACGGCTGAAGATGGAGCTCCATCATCAGATCCTAGTCACCAATGAAAGACAAACTACTCGTCAATACGATTCAAATTTACCCAAACGCGATGAGGCTCTGTCGTTTCATTGCGAAGTTCCTTTGGCCACCTTCCAGCTCCATCATCAGATCAGCTCCATGTCATAAAAATATTGCATTGTCTCGCGATTTACAGATGTATACAAAATTTCAGCTCAACCGGTAACCGGGAAGTAGATCGAATTTAATTTGCAAGATTTGATGACAAACATTAAAATATTGTAAAAGTGTTCATAAAATGAAAACTACTTGGCCAAACTATGGTAAATTTTTATGGGACCAAACGGCAACTATTCTGCATCAAACTAAAGAAGAATCTCGTAAATCGGATCATAAATCTCAACGTAATCGGTGTACATACATCGAAAAAAAAAAATCTAACAATCGAATTGAGAAACTCCTCCTTTTGAAGTCGGTTAAAATATTATATTAATTTAATTAAATATTGAAGGTACTTACATAAAATCTATAATGTGGCAAAAAATATATAAAAAATGATGTGGTGTCGTGGGACACCACATAGGAATGAAGTTCCTTCGGCTAATGTAGAATCGACACAAATTGCAAAAAAAATCGTGCTCAATTTTATGTAGGTTTTCTTGATTTTTCTCTTAAATTTTGCTGATTAGTTTTTATTTAAGTACAAGAAAGTATTTAGGAAATTCAGTATTTTAGGAAATAATAAATTACTCAAAATAAAAAAAACATCGTAATTCAAATTATCAACTAAAATAACAAAATTATACACTACTCGCTTGTGTATGCGACTGTCGCGCCTGCGCACGTCTCATTTAACGGTTTTATTCCACGTACTTTTTTCCACGGATTTTTTCTTACGGTTTTACTATCACATTTTTTTCAGTTCGGTCGCGCAGCAAAATCCCTATCCCCTCCAAGCCTGTCGTAAGGAACTTCGTTCCAAAAACATTATGTTTAACAATTTTAATTAGTGGTCCACCTAGGTGCTGGAACCAGCCCAGGGGGGGTCATGACCCCCATGACCCCCCCCCCCTGGATCCGCCCTTGTCCTCTATATGTGTGTTCACTTATTGTCGCGGTGTAACGACGCGCTGTATATATATATACATATATATTAAAATCAACCTCACTCACCAGACGAAACGCGGAAGTATTATACTTACGCTTTGCGCCGGTCTTCTGTGAGGTCGTGGTACTCACCCGGACGAGCCGGCCCATTCGTGCAACAGCCAAGGCTGCGTGGCCCTACCACCAATGTGCATCTGAGGCCATAACCTTCCATAATTACAATCACACAATACAAAATTTTCGGTTCCAAAATAAATTTAAAGAAATAACAAATAACCGTGTCAAAAATGTTTGTAATGATAGCACGTAAACTAACCAATGGCTCCTTAAAAAAACCGTTTGCAAGACGAAAATATACTGAACTGTTTTCACTTTACATAGCACAAAGTATACAAGACTCGGTATTAAACACGCAATACTTCGACAAATGTTTAGCGTGGCGGATGTTTATCGGCAGTGCCAACGAGCCGTTGCAATCCGGTATGTATTGAAGAGTCTTAATCTGGCAAAAGATGACGGTTTTTGCAAAAGTTTAATACCCATTTTATGCTCGCATTTTTTGACACACGAACCCGTTAATATAAGTACATACGACTTGTAGGTAGTAAATATAACAATGTGACAGTAATTGTTAACACGCGAAATTGGGGTAAATCGCTACTTGTTCATTACCAAAATTTATCTAAACTGTATATATCGGACGGGGCCCGGATAATCGATAGAGATTAGAGAGACTCGTCTTATATTAGCCAATTGTTGGCGTATAGATTTCTCTTTTTTTTTTTTCATCTAAATGATCACAATGCAGTTCAATAGTTACTGGTAATTTTAATTGAACAGCATAAGCTAGCCCGCTCATCTGTCTACTGGTGAGCGTTTTCAACGTTCTTTTAATAGCTGCTCTTTCCCTGACGCCAGAAAAAAGGCCATAGTTAACGGCATTCGCTAGCTGAAGAGACCGCCGAACCTATCTATCATTAGCTATCTCCCAAACAGTCTCCTCAATTCCTCGGGAAGCCATACAAGCGCATCAATTGAAGGAATAAGTTTGTTACAATTATCTTTCTCCGGTGCTAATATTCGGCTTCCGACCGAATCAATCCTATTACGAACAGATATTTCGCCTGACCTGACGGATGACATTCTGAGAGGCCTCAACACCTTAAACGGGTGCACTCACCTTCGATTTCGCCAAAGCATTTCGGAAAAGATTTAGCACAAAGGCATTCTAGACAAACTATTTGCCTGTGTATCAACATGCCCTACAGTATTAGCACTATAAAAAAAACTTTAAAATTTATAAAAAGCAATGGCGACATCTCTCGTTCGAATTATCGTTGTAAAATGATATTCGAAATTGTTTGTATGGTGGAAAGGATATAACAATAGATGCGCGAAGCATTATTTCAAATGCTAAATAACAATGTAGAAAGAAGGCCTTAAGATTTTCGTCGCTGTGGCTATCAGCTGTTTAGCTCAGTGGCTAGAGCGTCAGGCCGCGAATGCTGAAGACGTGGGTTCGGTTCCCACAGCGGCGACAATCTTTTCGTACTTTTTCTACATGTTTTAATGCCCGACAGGTTTGTGCACATTATCCATTATCATGACTCGATACCAAGTTGAGGGCACTCTCCCCATCAGCTGGCTCGTCTTGGCGGGCGTTACTCAAGACTCCTACCTTTCTCCTTTGCTCTTTTCGCTATCATCCATAAAATATCACAATTCAATCACGCGCTATTCGTGTATCACACAACAATCTTCTGTTCTGACAAACTATCAATTATGAGACGTCTTTTATAAACCTTATACGTAGTTTATCTAGTAAAAAGATTGAAACATGAAGTTTGGTTATGTTTATGATTGTCAAGTCATTCATGCACACTTGATTAGAACGCCAATTTTTTTCAGTCTATTACAAAAGTTTTTATGACATCTCATATTCCGTATTGAATGGTATCACACTCAAATTTCGTTAAGAACTATCCATGCGCAGAAGGTCTTATATTTCAAATAATACGTTATTTTGTACAATCGCCCCTCAATATAAAGAAATAAATAAGTTTGTAACTTATAAGTAAATTATAAATATGTACTACAATAACTTAATGTTGACTTAATAACCATGCCTAAAAGATATTATATAGAAATTCTAGGTAGACATGACACTAATTGGATTTTTGATTTGGAGATTGTAATTCTATAAACTGCTTTATGCCATATGATATAATAATAATCGTTTATTGCCAAGAAAAAATAGATTGTACAATAAATTTATGCTAAACAAATGTGAAAACAAAAAAATATTAAAATTACTTAGGGATAAAAAAAAAGAAAAGCTCCTTGGCAAAAGGTGAAAACTCAGCTTATGCTGCAACAAATCGCTTAAGGCTGACTGTGTAGCACTGATTTTCAGTTTCCCTTGACCCTGTTGTTGTTATAGAGCCAAGTATTAAATTTTTAATTGGTTGGTACCAACTTCGAAGAAATAAATAATCTATATCATTTGTCACATTCATTTATATATGTTGTATAATACAAAAGAGAACAATTTTAAATGCCGCACAGTATGGACATGTGTTATCTATACTATTAAACATCATAGCCATGCCTTGATAAACTTTGCATATATGATTTTGTGTGGGACATAAGGACTGTTCCATACTACATTAAAGTGTAAATTAAAGTATATTTAACAATTTATTACTATTTGAATAGAAGCACAGAAAATAATTTATTAATTAATGGAAATTTACACTTGAGATTTCAATGTATGTACTCATACATTTACACTTTAGATGAGTAATGTACACTCACAAATAAATTCTTATTATGTATATGCACAACTTATCCAAGGCTAAATAGATCAGGACACATAAAGTGATGTAATTTATTTACTTACATCATTACCTCTACGTAAAAAAATTATATTGTTAAAATTATACTATCATTTAGATCCCAACAGTGTTATTAGGTAAATTTATGCTCCTTAGGCTACAATGATACATGTTATATCTTGCACCAAAATTTTATATAAAAAATTCAAGCAAAAACTTTACAACCTAAATAGATAATCATAATTCATAAACACAAAAAATGACATTTACAACTTAAAAACTATTAAAAGTTGTCACTAGCAATATGTTTCAAAATATTTACTCTGTATACAGGTGGATTAAGAACTTAAATGATGATCTTAAATTTGCACAGGTGTCATTCAGTCTATACAGACAATTCGCCATTTAGCGTTAGTGACAAAAATAACATATAAATTTTATCCATCTGTTTTAATAGCTCGTTCATAATATAAAAAAACTGTCCCTGCCTATATTAGAAAAACATAGCTGATAACAGACTAAAGAGGCATGACTGTTTCCAACTTAGTCGATGATAATATTAAGCCATAAAAAACATACCATCATAACCTGTAGTAAGGCCGTCCAACTCTCCTCTTTTACATGAATTGACAGGTCCCTCCAGAGAAGTACGGCAACCTCACAGTTGACCAATGTGAAGTACAAGTATTATATTGTATTGTGTTTTGTATGATGAGTGAGGTAGTGGGCCCACTGGATTGAAAGGTGGAAATGCATTTGCAACCCCACAGGTGTTGCAAATGCTGTTATCACTTAACATCAGGTGAAATGCCAGCTCTCTTTCCATATTCTAACATAAAAAAAAGTTACTCTACATAATAATATACTCTAATAAATATTTTGTAGCCAGCATTCAAAAACAATCAAAATTATTACAATAATTCTTCTGTATAATTATATTATCAAGTGCAAATTAAATAAGTGGAAGGCAAGTGAATTTATGTGATAAAAGAAAATTAACGGTTTAGAAATTAGAAAATTAACTATACGGGCAAAACAAAAATTTATATTGCAAGCTAAATTAAATAGAGACAATTATAGCCTTCACTTAAAAGTAAATAATCATATTCTTAAAAGCATAATAACATGGTTTGTCTAAAAGTTTAGAAATACCATAAAATAATAGTATTAAAGACCTAACAATACAAATATGATTATTTAAGCATAAAAGTTCTTACCAATAAGTGCTGGAACAATAGACTTAGGCACTGACACTTCAATTATGTTTACTCTTGATGCCTTTATTGTATTCTCATTTGTTTCTTCCTCATCCTTTTTGAATATGTAATAGGCTATGAATGCTGTCACAGTAACTATCGACAGTCCTAAGGCTACTGGCAGCAGCAGTTTTGTTTTGAAAACCATTTTCCTGAAACTAAAGTTACTGCGCTGTGAAGCTTGAAGTCGCACTAAACATTCCTGACATTTATAATTTTTATAATCTCAACGAAAATTCAATTTTAAAATACCACCGCCGGAAATGAGTCAAGTTATGTTACACACACAAACTGCGATCTATTAGCAGCTATGACATAATGAGAGAAATGTTACTTCGTAAAGTAATATGACACCTCTAGCAAGTAGGACAAGAAAAACTAAAATGTAACCTTAATTTTCACATAAAAGTTATCATAAAAAACTCTTCAGTTACGAAACAAGTTCCAGTGCAGCCAGTTGCATTTATCGTTTTATTAAATCAATTAAAGAAATCGTGCTTCGTTTCGTTTTCGTTGTAAAATTAAGAGCTCCAAGCTCATAAAATTGAAACTGAAAAACGGATATTTATTTATTATGACATTGACATGTTTAACTGATTGACAGTTATCACAGAGTATAGAGTTCTGAATATTCATTGCAGATTATTTATTAAGTTTTTTTTTGTATTAAGTAGTCAGGTGCCCCGTGGACTCAGGAGTATAGCCAAGCCAGTGCATGAAAATGGAAATCGTGACGCCTTCCACTCCACTGCATCTCCGCAACCCCTGTTAACAAAAGATGGATAATTCAACTTGAACACTACGTCACGAATTAAGAGCTCCTCAGATTTTATTCGTTCGTGTTTTACCACTATTGCATAGTCAATTAAGAAAATAAATTAGGAAAACAATTAGCATAATATGAAAACAATTATAATTGATTTTATTTCATTGCTAGTCTCCGCACTCAAAGTGAAACTTAATTTTGATTTTTGAAGTTATACTTCTTTTGGCACGTTTGGAAAAAACATGAGATTAAAATTTTTTACATCCAAAAAGCGACGCGATGAAAACTTTAATTTATTACCATGGCAACCAACAATAAATTTACATTTACCTTTAATTCAAAGTCAGCTAGAGACATTAAAAGCAATGATAAAATGAAGGCTACGATGTTCTTCTTTTTCTTTCTCCCACCCTTATCCCACACTAGGTGGGGTCGGTACAACATGTCCATTATTTTCGGAACCATGTTGTTATTGCATTGGATTATTATTAAAAAAAAACTATTTGCTTATTACCTGATTCACATTATTCCTGTCCAGTAATCCAATGAATCAATCCAGTACAGTACTGAGCTGTATATGCAGTGAAAGCAATGATACCTCAAAAACACACATGTTCTGTATAAAGAAACAATCTGAAGTGGTCTTCAGTTAATTCCAGTGTTAGGAAATACAAAAACACTGATTATCATTCAATCCAGTTCTATATTGGTGCTGTACACTATTCTAGTGTGGCTGAAATGACCGAGCTGGAATAAAAAGGAAGACCGTTAATCCAGTCACTGGAATAGATTGCTCATTGGAATGGGTACATTCCAGTGCTGATTTACATTATTCCAGGGGCATTTATTGGACTAGAATACAACTGGAATACTATAAATCTTTTATTTGATTCAGCGACGAAGGCCCATTCATACACATCAAAGATTTCAAATTTTACTTTTTTGTCGTTTATTTTATTTATTACATTTTCAAATATTTTTATTGTCTTGTTGCTGTAACTTGCACAAAAATGATTACAACAATTTAGAAGGTTTAAACTTCATAACTCACATCGTAGAATCGAGCTCATAACGATAGGGAAGTAAAAATAGCATTTGCCTTTTGTTTAATTCTATTTGATCCACTTGACGAAAAAAATGTGACATAAATTGCAACGCAATGTCAAATATTTTTAATTTTCAATTTTGATGTTGATCACCTTTAAATTTCGTTAATTTTTAATTAATACTTTAGATAACTACATTTTCATTAGGAATTTAGAACATAATCTTTACGCGTGGACGCGTGACTTGTTTAATAAATATTTTTCATCAATTATGGTATAAACAAAACTTACAAATATATATTATGTAAACTATAAAAAATGGCTTGGGATATCACGTTAGGTAAGTTGAATAAAATGTTGAATGTTTCTTATAACTCCAGACCCATTTTTCATTACGTGCACAAAAGAAAACGTTCGTAGCTTACACCGTTCACGAATAGGGTGACAAGGTGAATATAAAATTAATCATACCCATTTTAACATTTAATTTGTTTTTCAAGTCGCTTTATTTATCTTTTTGTCGGTTTACGTATTAAACTAATTACAAAAAAATACAATAACTGCTAGTACTATTGCGTACTACCATAATCTCATAGCTGTTGTACAATTAGAGTTTGTTAAAATAGTGTCGAGTATGAAACGAGCTATAAACGACATGATTTGTTTATTTTATAGGATCCAGTACCCAAAGGATAAAACGTGACCCTATTACTCCACTGTCTGTCTCTCGCTACGTACGTCTGTCCAAGTTTCAGTTGAAATTTTCACGGATGACGTATTTCTGTTGCTGCTATAACAACAAATACTAAAAAATAAAATCAAAAATATTTAAGTACTTTTTCTTCTTCTACTTCCCATAATATTTTGCCGTTTTTATAGATAATGATACTGAACCCGTCTTGCGCGAGTCCGACTCGCATTTGGCCGGTTTTTTTCAATATTAATTTAATTTAGAAAAGATTGTCCCTAAAAATTGCGCAGAAGCGTGCACATCGTTCGTCGGCATTGAACGAGCGACCCAATAAACGATTACAGGCCAGATTTGTCATATTTTTTTATTGTCTCCACTATCACGAACCCCCGAAACGATCAGTCTTTGTGGAAAGCTAACATGCAGCGGCCATACGAACGTCGGTACCTCCATCCTAACAATATGCACGAGGCCTTCTACGGCGGTAATAGCTTATAATTAAAATTAAAAAATGAAATAACTATTTATCATTTGTTGAATCGAGGATACATTGTGTTGTGACAGATTTGAATTTTCAATTCACGATAATTTTAACAAGAATAAATAAAAATTAATAAATTCACGTGCTCCTTATACTAAAGAATGGGGTGGCTAATATTTTACTCGTTTCACGGACTTTATTTGTTTCCGAATTGGAAATGGCAGATGATGCTCATACACTGGGCCCAAATGCCGGGCTTTATTGTTCCTCGTGAGAAAGTCGCAAAACTGAAAAATTATTAATGTCCCGTGGAGATTCGGCACCTCAAAACTCGAACTTCGGACACGACAAACACTAAAAAAGGTCGTAGGGCCACGCACATGCAACAGTCTTCGTTGTTACACTACAGGTCCGTCAGGGTACGTCCACAAAAGACCGGCGTGAAGTGTTATACTTCTTCATTTCGTCTGGTGAATGAGGTAGCCGGGGCCTATTTTATTAAAAGGCTGCAACGCATCTGCAACCCTACGGGTGTCGCAAATGTGCATGGGCGGCGGTTGTCACTTCACATCAGGTGAACCGCAAGCTCGCTTGCGATCTTCTCACATAAAAAAATCACAGCTATTGCGCGACTTCTGCCTATTAAATAAATGCCTTTATAAATGTCGCGTTTATATTTCAGATTTCGAATACGTCGTCACGAAGAAGCAGCCGCCGCACATATGCTTCGGGACGGGGCTCGATCGTGATGTGCTGCCGACGCACGGTCCGTGTCTCAGCCCCTTTATGAGGCGAACCGCGAAAGAAATCCTTCCGAACCTGGGCCCGGGCACATACGACGAGACGCGGGATGCGTTTTACGATGTAAAACACAAGGTAACCATGTGTCCCCTAAGTTACTTGTGTACCTAATTGTTGGCCTTATTAATTATTCGTTGATCCGGCGAGATGTCTGTATTTCCCCCAATTAGTTAATTTCTTAATCAGCGTATTTAGTCATGCATTGATACTTCCAAACCTAGTCCCGGGAGTTTAACTCGCGATGCGTTAGAAATCCCATGCGTAAACAGAAACGGTTGGCCCTTCAGATAGGATTAAGCAGAACCACGGTGAAACGGATGTTGAATGTAGACTTAGGGCTTTGAGCTTATCTTGTCGAAGGGGAAATAGTAGACATCGTCTGGATGCGGGTTTGATGGGCCTGAGACTGAAGAGAGCGCTTAAACAGAATGCGTATTGCGTTTTGTGTAAGCGGTACGCGGGAAAAAAGTCAGGAAATTCAATTTGTTGTCTGGGTATTCTGCGCCAGCTAATAGAGCGAAAAGCACGCAAAACTGTCTGTCCGCCATTATAACTGAATATCACGAAATTGACCTCATTCGTGACGAAGACTGGGCCTTCTCTAATTCAGACTTAAATCCATTGGACTGTAAGATGGGAACACTTAGAGGAAAGGACACGCTCAAAGGGTCATTCTGATCAAACCTGTGTCAATTAGTTCACAACATAGTTCCTGGAGTATGAAATCACTACTAGACATTTCTCTTATTCCTAGGTGTACAGCAAACTGCACTACGGGCCCAAAGAACCGCGATGGAAAACGAAACACGAGTACCAGCCACCGCCAAGGGAATTGCCCGAGAAGAAACCCACACCTCAATACTGCGCTCCATTTAATTCGATCTCCAAAAGGAAACCGTTGTTCAAAGCTACGGACTACCCTGCGTATGTGGATATATTTTTTATATTCGATGGTGACAAATGATCACCCGGATCTTTAAATCAGATCTTTTAAAAAAAGAGGGCCCGAACCACCACGCCCAAAAGGCGGAAAACAAAAGTATAATACTTACACTTCACGCCAGTTCCATTAGGCCATGCTACTTCTCTAGACGAGCGTGCCCATTCTTGCAAAAGCAGAAGTTGCTGCGTGGTTCTATTCTACAACACAGTTAATTTCCCAATATTCTGTAATCATATGCTTCCACCAGTTAATTGACCGATCCCGTCTATAGGCTTAATACTGACACATGTGGGATAAAAATGCCTTAAGCCCAGTAAAATGTGAACAGAATTGGCTAGTCGTGTCTTTTTTATTTATTGTTGCATAATGTTTACACCAAGGTCTTGCAACTCAGCAAATTCCAATAATGAGGGATTGTACCACTTTCTTTAAATAATGGGTGATTTTTTTTTAATTTATAACAATTTGCCAGCCATTGAAGCTAAGGTCTCGTTTAAGTTTAAGAACATTTTAACATTAATCAATATCGCTTGTTTATCAACACTTAGTTATTTATTAGAGCCAAATCTTATCCGAATCTCATATCTGAAGTGTCATTTATTATTAATTTAGTTATGAATTATTATTATCTATATTAGTTTGAATAAAAAAATTGAATCAAATCGGTCGAATTTAATATATTGGGCAGTACAGCTCGGTCCTACTGTCTTACTGTCTTTTTAAACTTGTTACGCGCAGTTATTGTCCCAAGAACAGACATTTGGGATAAGTTCATCGTGCCTTGTTTTATATCTCCCAAATCTAATTAAGTACCTTAGGTGTTACGACGTTGTATATAATATAATTTCTTTGATTTATAAATTATTAATTGCTTTCAAGGCCCTGCGATTACTACCCCGAGCAGAACAAGAAGGAATTAAAATTCGATTACAGCTTTTCTGGTAAGAAGGTACTTAAATGTGCAGTTGAGGTAAGATTAATGAAATTATTTTTAACAGAATTATATTCATGTAGTTATAGGTACTTCTTATGGCGCGTTTGGAAAAAAATGAGAGTAAAACTTTTACGATGCGCGCGCACACCGACACCGACAACTTTTAATAAGATTTTTATAAACATGCTACTTCAGTTTGTTCATTTCACGCTCAACACTGATTACTGATTCGATTGTTTATTAACAAATCTATATTGTAATTAGTAGTATGAAAATTTAGTGTGTAAATATTAAGGCCTTAGTTTGTTTGTTCAGTATAAACGATGTTTTGTACAGGTTTGTCGCTTTTCTTGTATCTTTTCAGATTAAATGCGTTCCTTACAATCTCGATGTGTGCGCTGTTTGTGGGTGTTCTTGTTCCGCCCAAGGTGACTATTGGCAATTCGAAAATAGGATCTTCCTCTGCAGAAAACATTATTCTAGATTATTCAAACACTGTTTATCGAAATTTCAAGGCGCAAAATTGGCTGAATTTAAGGTACCACTAACATCTAAGCTTTTTAAAAAGTTGTTATATAATTAATACTAATTATAGCAAGTCTGGTGTTATGACTGGCCTAAATTTTTGATGCAAACAATACACTGTACCTCCATTGTGTATACTGGTTCACCGACTGGATAGTCCAATAAAATGACGAGTCAAATAACCTACTCAGTCAATAAATGAATAAAAAAATTATATCTGAGATTTTATGTTAGGCTTTGTGGATGCGATTAAAAAAAGTAAAGTAAGAGCCTACATACGTATATCCTACAGTTGGGCAAAGCCTTTCTCTATACAGTGGATATTAGGGCATAATCCACCACGCAACCTCACTGCGGTTTGGCGGACTTCACATATCATCGTATTATTTTTTTTTTGTTATTATTTCGAAAATGTAACTTACACATATTTTCCTTCACCGCTGAGCACATGATAAATCAGAACTTACAATTGACAATTTTATGCCGCAAGCAGGATTTGAACTCGGGTTTCCCGAGTACATATATTGAATTAATAGCGAACGCCCAGTCATTGAGCTATCATCACTCATTAAAAAAAAATTATAAATAAACAATTTTCGATTATTAATATTTTTTTAATTTTCCACGCAGTAGAGCTATAAATGTAAATTGTTTATTCCAAATATCACGGTTTCTATTGCAAATACTTCAAAACTGATTCAGAACAATTTTATAGAAATATTCAAGTCCCCTATTTTTTGCTTGACAAAAAGCCCAGTTTAAAATCTTGAAAATGTAGGTAAATTGTCTACGCGGGGCACGCGGGTTGTTTATATACAAATATTTCATATATGATAGAAAAACACTTTTTAATCAATAATTACGCAGTAAAAATATGCGTCGGCACTTAGATTTTGGGAAAAAAATTATTAAACCTTGGTAATAGTGCCACCGGCGGGCTCCTCAATATGTAAAAAACGAACCTAAACTATCGGTGTGTAATAATTAACTGTTAAACCGAATTTATCTAATAATAACTTTTTAAGTATCCTGTAGTAAAGACGTAGGTCGCCCCGCTTCGAATAATAATAAATAAGTTTTGAAAGTAATTTATCTATCGTTAATTTATGAATAATAACGTTTTAAGTGTCGATGCATTATTAAACAAGGTTAAAACGTGAGTTCCCTTGGAAAATAATGTACAAAAATGAATTTTGAAGTAACGTAATTGCGGAATTCCTTTGCATTGCAAGATTTTTTTTCTCAAAATCTAAATTTCGGCGCATATTTTTACCTCCTTATTATAGATTCAGTTATGTTTCTCTATCGAAAAAAAACATTTGTAGATGAAAAACGCGCGTACCCCTATTTTAAACAATTACTCAACCTTTTAATGACATGATTTCGTGTGTTAAACCCTGATATATTTTTGAGAACAACATTATGCAATGTTAAAGCACCCCTTTAACGTAAAAATATTAGTATATGACCACTACAAAATTTTGCTTTTACTTTTCAGTCCATTCGAGATTGCTTTTTTGCACACGCGCATAACAGTTGCAAGGCTGCATTAAAAATAATGAAAATAGAAGAAATACAAAAAAAACTTAGAAAAGAAGCATACTTGGATCTTTATTTTCCTCAACGACGCTACTGCTCCAACTGAAGTATCAAGAAGTTATGACAATAGCTTAACACAGTCCTTTGTAGTGTGTACTTCAATCGTATTCAAATAAATATACATCAAAACAGCAAAATTTTGTCTTTCATTTAAAAAAGAACCCATAATATATCAGATATTAGGAATTTCTCTTGGAACATCTAGATTCAACATTCTGAATCTCAATTATTCGTAAAAATATTTGTCCTACAAAAACAGTTTGGAAAAGAGTACTCTCCGTCCAACACGTATTGATAAGCAGGTCGTCAAAAATGTAGTCAACCAGCTGATATTTTTTCTGTTGTTTAATTATAACTATATTTATATATTATATTTATATAATTATAACTATAATTAAAACTATATTTACTAATATTTATATATTTTAATTGCCACATTCTACAAATTGCGTCGTACGTTGACCCGGTCCTACATTCACAGGTCTCTGATGTAAAACTAATTATAAATAGAAGTTTTCTTTACTTTCTTTCTTGTTTTTAACATAAGGGCATTTTACAGCATTTTCCTAGCATTTTATAAGAAATTACTGATGTAAGCTAACTACTAACCCATTACCGTCCAGTGTCATAGTAAGCCTAAACAGTTCACTTATTGTAAACATCGTTTACTCTTCCTATATATTATAAATATTAAACATTACAAATAATAACAACGCTGGCTTAGGCGGCGGTTTTTATTTGAACCAGATCTAAATTATTAACTAAAATTCTATGAAAAATTACCCATATTTATCTATAATACGAAATGATATTTATTTATTTTCCGTACTTAAATAAGTTATTATTGTTAGTAGTATTTACTACTCGAAATATAAAATTGTAATTATCTTATGATGAGAATATTATCTTATAACGAGAAAGATATTCAACAAAAATAGTTTCGTTCTAATAAATTAGTACAGTAATAGTACAATAAAATAGCAATGTATTTTGGTAATTCGAGATGAATTCATTTTTACTTTGCAAATTTGTAAATACACGCTCTGTAGCAATATACGTACATGTATGAAGAAGCAATAATAGCACCTACAAATACATATGTACTACGTGGACCGTGGTACTACATTTACTAACATTTAAGTATAAAATAACAATGATATATATTTGTATGTGTTAGGTCTATGTTCAATCTACAATGAAACCGAAATATATTTACTCTAAATCTAGGCTTATCGAGAAATGCATAAAAAGCAATCTCAATCTATTGAAAAAAACTAGTTATTATTGTTTGGTACAACACTCTAGGCACAACATAAGTTTTTAGCACAAAAACATGTACAGCACTATCAAAGATTATCGTATCTTAGTAAAGTACAAAACTTTTATAAAAATGTAAAGTTTTAATTTTCATCAATAGATACCATGCTATTGGTGCAATCCGGTAGAAATCGGCTGGTTCATCGATACTTGCTCAGTACGATTGAGCGTCGAAAGAGATAAACGAGTTTGTGCGTGTTTGTCTTATTCCAGTCGTTACTTTCTGTATTTAAATCCTATATATATAAAAGCTCGTAATTTTTCTTGTATTATCATTTGTGGTATCGCGCGCTATCTTTAAACAAGTATTTAAGTTCAACACTATTTACATATTTTTGAAAACAAAGCCATGTCGGAAGCAGAAAAGAAGAAACGGCAATACAGTATAGAATATATTAAATATGGATTCATAGAAAATTAGACAAACCCATCTTTGCTTTTGTGCCTTCTTTGTTCAAAAACATTTTCAAACGAAGCGATGAAGCCTCCAAGACTTCAAGATCATTTGAATAAAATGCATCCGGATAAGAAGGACAAAAATGTAGCCTATTTTCAAGATCTGGAAAAGAAGCATAATGCTCAGCCAAGTGTATCGAAATTATTATCGATGCCTGCTAAACAAGACGATGACGGACTTCGAGTTTCATGCAATATCTCTCTGTTAATTGCTCAAACAGGTAAACCACACCATCGGAAAAACGTTAATTTTGCCGGCGATTAAAGAAGTTCTAACTACTATGCTGTCCAATCATCTGAAGACTAGTAAATTTTCAATTCAGTTGGATGAGTCCACTTTACCAAGTAATGAAGCATTGTTGTTGTCTTACGTGAGATTTATTAAAGATGAAAAAATATGTCAAGAAATTTTATTTACTAAAAATTTAGAGACAGACACAAAAGGAGAAACCGTATTTAAAACACTGGAAAAGTTTTGTGATGAAAAAGGAATTCCGTTGAAGAATATTATATCAGCTGCTACAGATGGTGCTCTAGCTATGACGGGGTGTCAAAAAGGCTTCATATCGTACTTAAAAAACAAAATTCCTGATGTGCTTGCTGTACATTGCGTTATACATTCACAGCATTTAGTTGCTTAAATTTCTAAGTGAACGACTATTTCAATCATTGCAACATGTCCTCAGTCAATAAAATCCGAAACAACTCTTAAAAGGGCAGATTATTTAATAAGCTTTATGTTGATAATGATGAAGATTTCAATAGATTGATCTTTCACACAGAAGTGCGTTGGCTATCAAAAGGGAATTGGCGGACTCATTTTTACAATCTGTTTGACTCTGTCATAGAGTTCTTGGAAAAAAAGACACAGAATTGCGCGAAAACCTCATTACATCAAAGAATGATATCGCATACCTGACAGACTTTTATACATTGCTTAATGATATGAATCTCCAACTTCAAGGCGATGATTTGAACTTAATAAAAATAAAAAATGCCGTCGCTGCTTTCGTAGCCAAGCTGCTCTTACACAAAAAGAATATCGGCAGACCTGAGTTCCATAATTTTCGATTTATCAATATTATATACGACGACTTGCTCGTCTACTGCCAACATTTGGAAAATCTTCACAGTGATTTCATTGAAAAATTCCAGGACATTTTGAAATTGGAAATACCAGGCTGGGTGTTAGATCCTTTTTCAAATGTCGACATAGCAATATCACCCCAGTTGGAAGAAGAACTTATAGAACTGACAACGAACGAGGAAATAAAAATCAAATACAAAAATGGCTACCAACAATTTTGGCTACAAAAGTCAATTCCGCAGTTTTACCCTGGATTGTGGTCTATCGTTGAACGATTTTTGATAGCCTTCCCATCGTCATATTAAGTGAACGTGGATTTAGCGCTGTGACAACGCTGCTTACTAAAAAGAGAAATCATTTGCAAGTTACCAAACGCGGCGACTTAGTGACGAGTAAAATCGAACCTGATATCAACGAAGTTATTAAATATCATCTAATTCATCTTTCTCATTAGATTAGTATAAAAACGAAAACTGATTACAAATTTATATTGTTTCTTTTAATTTGATTCAAATATATTATTAATATTATAAAGTTGGGATTTGTTTGCTCTCACTGGTAAAAATCTTTAGTTTAGAATGTAAGTTTAAACATCAGAACCGACTAATATAACTAAATTAATAAAAGTAATGAAATTGTGGTTTTTAAGTATTAGGGGTGTATAAAAATGGGAGGGCGCTGAAAAATAATTGATTTTCAAATGGGGCGGTAAAAGAAATAAGTTTGATAATCACTGCCATAGAGTATATAATATGTTCTGTGCGCATACCCACCCTCGCCGGGGCAAGACCGGGTTAAGTCTGATTCGCACCGACTTAAATGCGAATCCCGCTCTATATTCATTTTATAAATCTTTTTGGTTTTTAATTAACTAAATTCTTAATAATTAACACAGGACAATTTAAACAAAACAAACTGATCAACGGACAAAATGACAAATGACAATCGGCAATTTTTACGTGAGGGTGTCCGGTGTTGTCTTAACCAAATTAGAAATCCTATTATTGGTAAAAAATATTCTTTAAAATATTGTTAAAAACGATTTCTCAGGCTTGGTTGATAATAAAGTATTTAGAAGATCAAGAGGGCCTAGTATTTTTTTTTTCATATATTTTAAAGTATACACAAATTGTATGTTATTAGCTACGTTCAATTTATAGTTTATAATTTGTAAAATCTACCTAAACAGAACTTCTTCTGGAATGGTAATAGTTGCTTTTTTACAGATTCTGCCCAGTGCTTGCATTTTTTTACTCTAAAGCTGCCTTCCGGTCATAATTATATAAAGTGGAACAATTTTTTAAACGCCGCGCAACAGTATGGACATGCGTGATCTATAATAGGTCATTGTAATAAGGAGCCCGGAGCTCCATCGACGTTAGCGGGGCGACATCACAGGACAAAATAGGTAATCATTGTTTCGATAGAGTTTCTTTGTCGATTAAAATATTTATAAATGCGCGTGCCCCTATTGTAAACAATAATTTTCATTTCAAGCACAGATTAGCAATAAAAACTCCAAAAGAGTCCTAAGTAGATGTTAAAACCAATTTTTATTTTCCATAGACTTTTGGGAGCCGGCAGGAGGGAATAATTAAGATGCAGTACAAAGAACAAGCCGTGTTGAGAAAAACATCATCTTTTTATTGTCACTCGTTGCTATAGAAAATTGTCAATAATAGGGTAATGCTAGACCGATGAGAGTAAGGGTGTAAAAGATAAGAGAGGTGCTACACAGTAGCAAATGAGTCGCCACATCCTTTTAAATTGTAGTGGCATGGCAATTGGCAACACTAGCTGTATCAATCATCTGACTTCGTATATGACAACTGCTAAACCAATTTTTATTTACATTTACTATTTATTTTAGTAATCAATATCGTCTAAGTACGGTAACATTATGAAGCTTGACTCCAATAATAAATTGATTAATAATGACAATACCACTGATACTCCTGAGGAAGTAACTGATCCGCGACAAAATGCGGAAGATATTATTGACGATATTCTCGCAGAATTTACAGACTCGCGAACACCAGAGATTGTTAGAAATGGAAACAACATTCCGGAGAATCTTTTCAACATTGTGCAGCCACCACAAACGAGAACTCCAGCAAATTCTTTGTCTGAAAATGCTATTCTAGACGACATAGATCCATCATCAGATTTAGGCACATCCATCAGAAACAAATGCCTCGAGTTGGAAGAGATCCTTCAAAGTCTTAAGTCACGGCTTAATCATGTTCTTCTAGACGAGAATATTGTGCTTAGTCCAGAAGCAAACTCATTAGAAGCTCAACTAGAACATGACTTGGACACAGATTGTCAAGAGGACCTTTCACTTCAAGAATTCCTTGAACTACTACAATCACAAAACAAGATAAACCCTAGCAGTGTACAATGATTATTCAGAAGTCAACTCTATTTTTAAGCATAGGGAAAAATGAATAAACTGCGTGTAAAATTGAAATTAGTCTAATTGTATAACTATTCAAGTTTTAGTAACCTGTGTGTGCATTTTGTTGTAATATAGGTTTTAGGAATCTTAATAAATTTTGTTCATCACAATTGGAAAATAATAAGTAATAAAAGTTAAACTGCAAACAAATGATTGTTTAATTTTAAATGAATTATAATAAAAAATAGCTTATATATAAAAGTTAATAACTCAATCATCAAATAAATTATTAAGGTCTGTGTTGACATCCAATTCAGTATAACCAGGTGCAGTATCCATCTCATATATTTGACTTTCATCTTCAGTATCTTTATCATAGTTACTTATACTATTTTCATGTTTTAATATATAACTTAATTTCTTTTCTTTTATTAACTCAATAATGTTGTTTTTTTGCTGATCATAAAGTTCCATTTTGAAGTTTTGCAACCAATTATTGTAAAATGATGGATCAGTTTTAACTCCCTCTGATCTAAAGAATATAATTGCTTCTAAGGCTTTTGTGCTATGTTCATCAAGGTTACTATTAATAAGACATTCTATAGCACTTGACATTTCTAATGCTAAAGCATTCTGCGATTTTCCTTTATCTAAAAGAAATTTGTAGTCACTTATGGGATTGATTGTCCCTATTTTTTGAATATTTTTTGTTATTGATGGCAAAGGAAGTTCGACTTTAGGCATATCATTGAATGATGCATTTGATGTGGAAACTTCAACTTTAGTAGATTCACCTGCCTTTTGTGTAGTCACTGTCTGTTTATTTTTATGCTTTACTTCTACTTTATTTAATACAAATAATGATTTAAGTTTTTCAATTAAATCTGTGGCACTTTTTTCTATAAGTGGAGGCACTTTAAATAATGCCATTATATCATCTCTTGGCGGAGGAAGTGGTTTTCTAGGATTCATTGCTCGAAATGCTATACAATCCAAAATATATTGAGCCGAAGGGCTTATAGTTTCTGCAATTGGGAATGCTTCATTATCATCAAATTCTTCACAATTATATGCATTGGTAAGGTCCATTGCTTTGATAAGGTTCTTGAAAGCATTAACTTGTTCATCAGTACAATTAAACTTCTTTAAATCAGATTGTGGAAATGCCATATTTTTTATTTCCTCTTTAAAACAAATTCCTGCCATTGATAAGCAAATAAAGTCATTTGTATCAATTACTGGCATAAGAGCAAACATTTTCGGTGCATTTCCATTGTTATACACTCTTCTTACAATAGCAACTAAATTTATTTCTTTAAGACATTGAACTAAGCACCTCACAGCATATTCAGCTTTTTTGTCACCCTTTCTACCAAAAACATAAGACAAACCATCTCCATTCATATTTTGCCATTGAAGTTTGTCAGCTTGAGTGAACCCATAAACATTAAGAGATTTTGGACCAGATTCATACATAAGTGATTTATCTATTTCAAGTGGAATTATTGTTTGACCATAGTGATAACCTTTTATCAAAACCTCTTCATCTACCACATTTCTAGTTTCAGTATGTACATGAATTCTCTTTTGATTAACGGCTTCACTGCTGCTTGCTGAGCCTGTGACTGGATCTTTCACTGCTTTAGTCCAGCCTTTGACCATAGGCTCATCTTTGATTCTTATATAAGATGAAACTGGAATTTTTATATTTGGACCAATGCAGAGATCCACATTCCAAGGTGAGGCATTAATGTGCCTTCTTTTATGAAAGAGTAAATATCTCATGGTATCATCAAAAGGGGCTGTTACTCCATTAGTACCTTCAACAATTTTTTTTACTAAATCAATGTCATTGTTTTTACATATTTCTGAATAGATGTCACATCCAATGACATCAACTTGAATATCTCCTTCTTTGAATCCATTCAATGCCTAAAAAAAGTATATAAAAATATTTTCATCCATATATTTGACAAAAAACATTATATGCTAAATAGTTTTACAAACAATTTGAATATATATAAATGTTACTTTAGTTTTTAAATTAGTCCAGTCTTAAACTAAATATACTGCTGCATGCTTAAAAATGATAACGAAAAAAATTATATCTTTATAATTGATAATTAAATAAACTAAATTTATTTTTAATACCACCATTCCGAATGACTAGAGTATTGAATGAACATTTTTATCAACCTGTTTGAAATCATTTTCATCCACGCTTGAGTAGCATTCAAAGTTTGTCATTAATATAATCCTTCTATTAAGACATTTTATGCCACTAAAACCATTTTTGAAATAGTCTGCTGCGACCACAAGAGCATCAAACCAGTCTCCTCTGTATTGCGTTGGCTACAACAGAATGCTTTTATTTTTATATCTGCAGTTTTACTAACAAAATAAATAATTTATTATATTAAGTGAGGTTTAATCAGTAAAACAAATCAAAATTAACAAAGTTTCTACAAAATATCATGGGAACATATTAAATATAAGTCAATATGTATTTTTACAAATCATTCTGACACCCATTTTAGGCTCTTTATTTTGATCTATTTAAATAGACTTTACACTGTACAATTTTTTTTAAATCTATACTCGTTCTTTGTATAAAATTTATCTTTGTATATATATATATTTTCTTTGTATATATATAACTTTTAATGTAATGGAAACACGGTTATTTGTTATATATTTAAATACATGATAAAAAAATTACCACACTAGGTAACTCGCGTATCGTTTTCCAAGCAGGTAATTCCAATTCACTAAAGAACTTTATATGTTTAAATGATCCAGGGCATTGCTCTGCTAAACTGTTTTTAGTTTCTTTAGTTCCCATTAATATTACTCCGATGAGATCTTTCCCCTGGCACATTATTTTACGTTCTACAATACGTTTTGTGCATTCTACAGCGTTTTCAAAAAAAGTTTTAGATTCTTCATCCTTAACTGTCGAGTTTTTGCCTATATCCAAAATAATGATGGTAGCCTGGTCTACTTTTTTTGTCATTTCAATCAACGAAAAGAAATTTAAAGATAAGAAGAACTGAACAATAAAATAGGCGAATGTAAATAATGAATTAAACTGAGGCCTGACAAACTATAAATCAAAGAGATTAGAGAATATAAATTATTCCACTAGGTTTGCTATAAATTCAAAATAAGACAAACAAGGAAAGGAACTGGACGGATAAAACATGTATAAACATGAATGATGATTGGTGGACTGGTAAATTACAATTAGTAACAGTTTTTATCTCTTTCTAACTAAGGTAACAGTAGGGACGCTCGATGATCATCGAGGTTCGATGTTTTTACATTTTGATAGTATTGTACTGTTGTGCAAATAAAATTACATGGAATACGATAATAATATGTAAGTTTTAATTGATTGACTTCTAAATATTGAATTCATCTGTTTTCTTTCTGTGCATGTTAAACAAAATCGTTCTTTTTTAAATTTATAAATGCTATATATCGATACCTTAATTGGCAAACCAGCTAACTCCACCTTTGGTCAAAAATTTTTTTTGCCTTTGTTTGTACGCAATAATAATTCCGCTCGATTTGCAAAAACAATAACTCCGATATAATCACTATTTCTTTCTATAAATCGCTATTCGCAAATCAGCCAACGCCGCATGTCACGGAACGTTACAATTTTAACAGCCAACTCCACCAAGTCGGCTATTTCGTATGGCGTCCGAGTCATGTACGCTTACCGCCCTACGTTTTTTAAAAAAAAAATATATATAAACGCAACAAAAGGAAAGGTACATAATGTTGAAAAACAATTGAACATTAATACATAGTATGGATACTTATTTTATTTCTTACAAAACATTGCTAGGTAATTGAGCAATTCTAAAATTTAATATTGGCTTTGAGTTGGCCGGCTTGCTTCTTACTTTATTACGTTACGGTTGGAAGTTATACATTTTATTAAAAATTTAAGTTTATTAAAAATTTAAATTAAATTTGATGATACCAATAAACCTGACTCGTTTCTGGTGCTTAATAACCAATTTTCAAAACCCTACGACGCTTTGGTTGAGCTTCTAATTCATCGAATTTATTTGTGCAAGTGTGCGGGAAGTCGATGGATGCAGGTGGCTCAGGATCTTACTTCGTGGCAGTCTATGGGGGAGGCCTGTGTTCAGCAGTGGACTCAAACAGGCTGAAATGATGATGATGATGATTTGATAACAACATTTATTGTATTGGAAATGAACTGTCTGCCATGGAGTATACGCAAACATATGAAATTGTTGTTAATGAAGACATATTTCCGTTTGATAAAGAACAATTCAGTCCAAGTTTGCTATCTGGTCACCTTACACCATCACTTAAATACAATCTTGAAAATGCCTCTAAGTTTTAAGCCAGCTCACCTCTCTACAAGTAACGATAAATCGGATAATGATTAGGCCGTTCTTTTGATCCAGAAACTAATAAAAAATCATGAAACTAGACTACTGTAAGTAAAAGAGAAATAGTGTTATCCAATGCATATTTCTGAAGATGACGGAAAAATATTATTTGATAAATTTTAAATATGAGGGGATAAAAAACGAATTTACGTTGATAGTTTATTAAAAATTTTAGATACAATTAGGCAAAGAGATAGGAAAGACCCTTAAAAATGTAAAAAATTAACGCTTTTATATACCACCCTTCAAAACGTGTGTATTTATGATATGAAAACTAGAGATGGGTGATCCTTTCTATGGAATGAAGGCAAAGGCTGAGTTCTGATTAGTTTGCAAAAATTTTAACCATTTTCTTAGTTGATAAAGTAATTCTAGCAATAAGAATTACTATTCATAAGAAGATGACAACATATATTAAAAAATTAAATTAAATTCGATGATACCAATAAACCTGACTCTTTTCTGGTTGTAAATAACCAATTTTTAAAACTCTACGACGCTTTGGTTGTACACTTGAAAAGAAAAAGAAAGTTTTTATTTAATATAAATCTATCAAGAAAACCAGCTAACTCCCAGATCACATACTTTTGCACGAAAGAAAAAACGTATAACTCCTAAAAAACGCTGTAGTATGGTAATGAAAATGTATAATGGATTTTATAGTATCAAAAATGACAATTTACGATAATATCTACCAACTATATTTTAGATTTTCTCATAAGTACTCTAAAAAAAATGTTATACAGTTTTAAGTGTCTCCTGTAAAACTTGCCCATATGGAGTTAGCTTGTTTGCCAATTAAGGTATCGATATGAGACAATTTACCGTAGACAATTTATCTCACTTTTCTACAGCTGTGGTGTGGAATGTGGATTGTGGATGCTTGAGGTTTTAGTTGTATTGAAAATTGCATATTAAGGTAAGATATAATATTTAATTTAGTGTACTTTTCAATGAATATTTTTGTATGGTCCGGTTATCGTGAGTTCATAACTAAATTTTGTTTCCACTTGATTGTATGTTTTGAGGGATACAGGAACAGAATTAAAAATGCTTCCAAAAGTTGCTTTTGGGAATTCGACTCATTTCAATGTATTTTATTTCTTTGTCAATTATTATTAATGCAAAAATCATCGATGTTGGGCTTCCGATTATGATTTTTTTTTGTTTTTTTAATATCGATCATCCCTATGTAACAGTCGTAAGCGTGACTAAAAAGCTTGTGACAGCGTGTTAGGGAGCAATTTGTGTGGAACAGGAACTGTTATTTAAGTTTGTTCGTAACAGGTACAGTCATTTAGTTCAAGATAGCTGTTATAATTACCTGTTACGATAAATACGTCAGCGTCACACTCCTATTTTAGACTGTAATATTGTTTACACAAAAATCACTTTTATTTGCGGTAATTACATTTTCATAAACAGAAACTTACAAAAACATTTAAGGTAGGTCTCGATTTGCGGCACAGACTATAACGACCATTATTAATACGCACTAATGACAAAATTAATAACTGAATAAAACATTCAAAACCATAACATGTTATTGATATCAACAATCAACAAATTTTCTAAAACTTTATCTCAAATTTTACTTTATTACAAACTAAAGTAAATTATGAAAATAAAGAATAAGATTACAAATAACATCGTACGGTGTAATAATTTTAAGAAAAAATAAACTATTAACAGCCAGCATGATAGGTTATTATCATACGCACTCATCGCCTAGTGCGATCGCATTAAAACACAAAACACGTTACAAATAACAATGAAACGTCGGCTTAGTATTGACTGAACAAATAAACGTAGTGATTACATTCTCTTTGTTGACTGAATAGCAATCAACAGCAATCTGTTCAAATCTTACAAGGTTCATTTTCTTTTCAATTTAATAATTGAAAAAAAAAAAATAACCAGGCAAAATAAAGGTTTATTTTCTTTTTAGATGGTTCCTCAAATTATATATTGTTGATCTAAAGCTTAAATTTTCGTGGCATTTTTATTTTCACTGTCTTTATCGAAATGCGACCATAAAACACTAATTTTTTTTTGCGCCGCTAATATCACGATAGAGTTATTAAAATTATTAGAAGTACTAATTTTTAACACAATGCGACGTGCTCACCGGCTTGAAATTCTTGTTCATGCAATTCAACTTCGAACTTTAAATCTAACGACAGGGGCATGCACGGGTTTGATCTTTTTGTATTAACTGATGTTTTTGCTTTCAGTCCCGAAACTATTAAAGCTTCATCTGACGCAGAACCGGTGGGCTAGCCACGGGTATGCTCATGCGTGCGTTTAACTATGGTTTGTCGTCTAAGGGCCATCGAGGTGTGAAGTGAATCGCCACACCCTTTTCTGGATTTACTTCTATTCTCCATTTGCGGAACCAATCTCCGAGGCGGTCGGCGGCGATTTGGAGACGAGTAGTGAGTTGATTGAGATTTTTATTTGCGTAAAAGAGCGCCGTGTCATCCGCGAAAAGTGCGAGATTGACGTGGGGATCTTTAGGTATGTCGCTCGTGTAGAGTGTAAAGAGTTAAAGTGAGAGACAGGAGCCTTGTGGTACGCCAACCATGAGCCGGCGGCTTGTGGAGAGGGTGCCCTTAACTCGATATCTTCGTTCTTGCGTTGAAGCTCTTAAATAAATACCTTTCTTTAACCTTTCAACCCAATTTTATCAACAAATTTATTAAAAAAATAGCCTATGTCCTTTCTCAGGCTCTAGACTATTTGTGTACCAAATTTCATTTAAATCGGTTCAGTAGTAGTTTGGCGTGAAAACGAGACAGACAGAAAGTTACTTTCGCATTTATAATATTAGTTTGGATTAGAGTGCCTCCCAGACGGTTTGCTAACCAGTCGTAGTGGACTATATTATAGTTCGCGATTCTCGGATCGCGTACGCTAGGTTTTAAGAAGGTCTCTTGCACTAGAAATATATCTACATTATAATACCGGAGGAATTCGAATTTCGTCCCTTTGACCCTTAATGCCATTTGCGTTGAAATACGAAACAACCAGAGCCGCGGTTTTAATTTACCTGCGGTTGTACTTCTCATAAAAGTTTGTTATTGTTTCTAAGTAACGACGCGGCGGAACGCGGTTATATTGCGGGGGCTATAAAATTTACATTTGGCTTGTAAACACCCAGAGGGCACAACAAGTTTTTTATGTTTGCAAATAGCTCTGAGATGGTCGGGGCCACATGTGGCGGACGATAATTTGTTGGACAATACGGCGAGCTCTTCCATATTAATGCGGTCTAAGTACCTGCAGATGTTTGCAATTTGGGCGAACGGGTCGTCATTGTTTCCGGTAATTACCGGTGGTGTTGACTGCACCTGCGGCCTCGGCGCCTGTTGTTTGACGGGCTGCGGCTGGGCTAACGTTGGTCGTGAGGCGACCGGGGGCGCGACTACCTGGGGTTTCGCCCAGGCGTTAATGACGGGTGCGGGCGTGGGAATAAATTTCGTAGACGTCGTTTCAGATTTAGGTAACGTTGTTTTCGCGGGAGCTTTTCTCGCGAAAACATATAGGATTTCACGATGTTTTCCTTCACCGTGGAAAACATGATAAGTCATCACTTAAAATTAACAATTTCATTGGTGGATCGGGACTCGAACTTAGGTTGCTCGAGTAAATTGAATTAAAGGCGTGCGCCTTAACACCGAGCTATCACGGCTACTAATAGGAACATACCTAATGAAATTATACTAAAATATTTATAGATAGTAACTTTTATATCTCATTGTAATATACACTGCCACAATTATGTTGCCTGGTTAAAATGTACTGCCAGGCAGCGGAGCACGGAATTCTCTTTTTCCCTTCCCTACCACTGTGAAATGAATTCTATTGAGATGGTTTGGGAACCGATGATTATGTTGATAAAAACAACATAACTGTTTAAAATCTCTCATTATCACAGAGTACATTTGTATATAGGAGAATTGCCAGTATCAGCCGACAAATTATAATGGCAACGCTGAGCTGACATGCCATGATATGATAAGCAATGTCAAATCAAAAGTCAAAAGTCAAAGCTCAAAGCAATAGGTACTCTTGTTTAAATTATCTGAACAAAAATACATAAACAAAAGTAAACTGTGATAAAAATTACACATTTAGAAATGAAATTAATGAGTATGTAAGAATTTTTTACTAGGAAATAATGAAGTTTTCTTTTAAGCATAGAGCATTTTATTGTTATCTGGGTATGAGCGTATGGATCTTTTTTTTGATAACAGGTAAAAGAAATTTCAATTAAAAATAGTTCAGAAACTATAATATTAAATCGTTATTAAAATTTATATACACAGTATAAAAATAATATTTTTAGCACACTATTTAAAACCGCAGTACTATATATACAGAACTGTATATAATATTCGATTTAGTTTTGTTAATTATTATATGAAATTTATTACTCGCTTGTCGCTAAATGTTTGAATATTATAATTTGTAATTAAAATTAAATAAACTTTCTAAGCTTTTCTACAATTTCAAAAATCTAAATGTCTCCGCCTATTTTTACCCGCGTATTTAACACGCGTACCCTATTGTAAACAATTATCAATGTAAGAAATCATAATATGTATAATATGGTTTTATAAAATTTTACAGTTGTGTATAAGTACATATCCGTTGGAGAAGAGACTGGTGCTGTAAAAATAGCACCAAGTGAATACATTTCAAAAGCTGATATAAAGTTTAAAAATATATACATCAAAGCTTGTAATCCAGCAGACAGCATAGTAAGGGGATCAGAAGGTACATTCTTATATGAAATTAAAGTTGGACTTATGCATAAAAATCATATTATGTATAAAAATTATATACATAGGAGCAATATTTATTCAAAAATTTGCTCAAATATTATAAATTAGTTAAGTAAAATTAAAATATGCAGTGCGGCTGTTAAAATTATAGCTTTGTGTAAAATATAAGGTTATTGAATACTAAATAAAAGATGCTATGTATTTTTTCTATTATGGTTACTCTTAATTGAGTTCAGATGATATTTCCCATTTGTATATAAAGCATTATAATCATAATACATATGTCATTACTTTAACATGTTTGTAAAATGCTTTTGCATCAAAAAATCAATGTATAGATCTTTTGTACATTTCTGTATTACAAAGTTTCAACAAAAGAAAACTCCATTTTAAATACTGCTGTAATTCTGTTATGATTTGTTGTTTGCCAGTATAAAGTCTTGTAAGGAGATAGGTATGAAATTAAACTAATAACTGCTTGATTAACAGTGAAGCTAACCTTATTCAATATATGTTTGAATAGCATTGTACATACAGAATACAATGTATGTATGATGTATGTGTGGCGAAATTTACTTTCATATTCTAACGATATTGTAGCAGTTTTTCATTGCCTGATAACACAGATAAAACAAAGTATTCTAAAAATGAAACCTAGCTAGATTGATTTATCGATTTACGATCAAAACCAAAACAAATTATACAAAATTTCAACCAAATACAAAATTTCATTAAAAACATTGGAGCCATTTCCAAGGTTTAGATTATATTTATTCGTATGTATGTAAGAATTGCTCATTTTAAGGTATTAGATAGATAGATTACACCATTACAGTGTTTAAACCCAGTTTAGCTATCATTAAATAAAATTGTTCTCTAAGACATTTTGCTTTCCTGAGCAACATGAAAGAGTCAAGAGTTCATCATGTTTATATTGAATAGAACATTTATTTGTGTTAAACATTCAAAGTCCTCTGCAATTGTATTATGAGCACATGTTACTGAGCACCTTGTTGAAAAAGATTGCTATTCATTTCTCAGCTGCAGTAGACAGTGACACCTGGCTACTGCAAGGTATCCTGGTATTAACGAGGCATGGAGACAGGGGACCATTAAATCACCTTAAAGGTGGTGACAAACTACCATGTGATACTGAACCAATTTCAGGTCTTCTCAGGAGGTACATTTCATTGCTTTTTAAGTTTACAAATATATTTTAAAGTAGTTTTTCGCCCGCGGCTCCGTCCATATGTACTTCATTTTATATCGTGCTTAAAAAGTATTTACGGAATCCTTCATGCGCGAGTCCAAGTCGCACTTTGCCGATTTTTTTAAACTTTATATAAACTTACAATCATCATCATTTTACAGACTATAATATACATGGAGGCTTTTCTTAGTGTATCCATTTTTATTAAATTCTAGACATAAATAAAGATATAAAAAATTATAAATATTTAAAATTAAAATCACTCGTAATTAATTAATTACATTCATTTGAACTTATCTCAGAAGGAGCATGATTTATGGGCAACTCATTTATTTTACGCGCGATCATTCATAACAAACACGCACACAAGTTCGTTTCAAAAGTATCCGACGCATTTATGAATGACTACCGAAATGTCAATTTAAAAAAAAAAAGGCGTCGATATAGGTATATATAATATTTTTTCTTAAATAACTTCCATGTACAGACAGAACTCCAATGTAACAATCAGTTACATTTTATTATACAGGGTGGCTTTTATAAAGGTGCCCAAATTCACACAGGAGATCTCGGTAGTATAATCGGTTATTTAAATATAAACAAACTTTAAAAAAAAAATGAATGATCGCGAGTAAAATAAATGAGTTTCCCATAAATCACGCACTTTTTGAGATAAGTTCAAATGAATGTATTTAATTAATTACGAGTGATTTTAAATATTCATCATTTATATATGGATACACTTAGAAAAGCCTCCCTGTATGTATAGATGGTATGAATTTTTATAGTCCTATTTCTCTGCCCTTAATATGTATTTTTTTAATATGTAGAAAAATGGACCCTGTTTAACATAGGTCTCCCTCAAAGACTGTTCATGGTACGATCTTGAGCCACCTGCATCTATGGACTTTCCGTACACTTGCACAGGTCGTCACTCCATCTAGTGGGGTTACGCCCTACACTGTGATGGCCAATACGAGGCTGCCACTCAAGAACCTTTTTTACCCCCACCGGCTTTGCTTCCACGAGCCAACATATAGCCGTCCCAACAACAGCTTTGACACTCATAAACCCTTTTTTTGCCCACCGGTGTCAGTTCCACGAGCTATATGGCTGACCCATCGCCACTTCTGCTTACTAATCTTCTAAGCTAAATATATTTCTTTGCATTAGAGATGTACTGCCAAAAGTTTCTTTGTACACAAATGTTTCAGCTTTCCCCTTTGGTCCGTTCCAGTTACGAGGAGTTCGTAATGAACGCGAGCGCCACCGGCCGCGCCTGGTGGGTCTCAGGGCCGGGACCCTTCCACAACTTCCCATCCCTACCGCCGAGGGGGGCCGCCACGAAATGCGCTTTGGGTCAACTCACTCCCAGCGGACTGCTACAGATGCTTACTGTTGGTAAGTCTCTCTTTCTCCCTTTTTTCTTTTTCCCGCCATTGCCCCACACTAGGTGAGGTTTGCACATTGTCATTCCCTTCAATTTTCTTCCGTCAGCTGTCATCTTGGTACACAGGAATAAACTCTATCTCTCTGATCAATGTCCCGAGCTTGGATAGTGTATGAATCTAGGTATCCTAGGCAGAAATTGTTATTAATATGAGGTAAATGTTATTGTTTTGGGGTAAATTATATATAATTGTACGATATACGTTATACATATTGTTACGTGTTAGGGGTTCGAAGGATTTGGAGAGAAAGACCTGCTGACTCTTTTGAAGACTTTATTCACTAGAACTAGGTCCAACACAAAGCACTAGGTCCAAACACTAAGCACTAACAATGTCCTATTTTGTAGCCAAGTCGTAGGTTTCACTGGTATCGCTCTTGATCACTAGTTTTCACTCCGAAGTCGCCTCGAAGGTAGCTCAAACTGAACTGTCCTCGTCTCGCCTCTCTGCGGCTTTTTATATGGGCCGAGACGAGCCCCAGACTATTCCAGAAAGTTCTTTCCTGGAACGTACCCGACATGCGCGAACATGATCGTGATTCCGGAAAGTTCACGAATGTACCCGGTTTTCGAGACTATAGTTCCACAGCAGTTCCTCTAACGCCATCTAGTATTGAATAGTGTGTTTTATGTCGTCTTTGTTCTTTAGTGGTTTTACTAGTGGACGCTAGATGGCGTTAGTTCCTTTGTGTGTTCATAACAATATATTATACACAGTATGTTGTGTTATAGTGAATGTTATATATTATATAATTGGAAAAGTAAATTATCACAATTATGGTGTTGATTCATCAATAGATATTATTACTTCCCAGGTAACATACTGCGGGAAGCTTATAGTGATAAGTTGGGCCCTGAAAACATGGACTTGTCCGGAAAAAGAGATTCAGGCGAGTAAAATACAAATGCGTTAATCTTTATTATTTTCAAGGTTTTAAGTATTACACGAATAATAAGCTGAAATAAAATAACTAACGCATGATTTCGATAAAGACAAATTCAATGCATGAAGACTGGCGACAAAATACTTTTTATACAAGAATATCGTCTGGTGGATGAGGTAAATGGGGCCCACTTTTTGAAAAGGTGGCGACATCCACCTCACGGGAGAGGCAGATGTCGGGCGGTGGTTATCACTTCACATCATGTGAACCGTTAGCCCTCTTGCCACTTTGTCATATAAAAAGAACATAAAGATAAGGCGACGCAGCAGCTTTATCTGTTGCATAATGAGCAGACACGTGCGGGGAAGTAATTGAATTATTTAATTTATTTTTTAATTATTGGTCGGCAACCATATCTTAACACAACATCAACGTGCCTATCCACAACAACTCTGATATTGCATATGTCCACGGGCGGTAATCACTCAACACCAGATGCGCAGTGTGTTCCCTTGCCAACTTTTGACATGAAAATGAACTAATTGAATCCGTTGAATAATTAAAAAATCGGCCAAGTGTGAGTCGCGCAGTCGCGAGTTCCGTATTATTATTTATAAAAACGGCAAAAAATCAATTTGTTTTATGGGAGCCCCATTTAAATCTTTTTTATTCTGTTTTTTAGTATTTCTTGTTATAGCGGCAACAGAAATACATCATGTGTCAAAATTTCAACTTTCTTACTATAACGGTTCATGAGATTCAACAGCCTGGTGAATGACGGTAAGACAGACAGATACTCACGGTTCATAAGATACAGTCTGGTAACGGACGGACAAACAGATATACACACAGACAGACACCGGAGTCTTAGTAATAGGGTTCCGTTTTACCCTTTGGGTACGGAACCCTAAAAACCAAATTACAGGGGTGGCGTACACGACTAGGTATCGCCGCACCTTCCAGTCGCTTCAAGCGCTCGCGTGGTCTAGTACCGGCGGCGCAGCATTGGCCCGGGAAGCGCACAGCGTCGCTTTCTGCTTCAGGGAATGCGCCTGCAGCGCCCTGCACGTCTTAGCGAGGTATCATTGACATTCATTGACCTTTGAACGACAGTATTTTCATGAGTCTGCTTTCAATGATTATTCTGCTCTAGGTCTTTCCTGGTTCCGGTTTAATGCAAAACTGGTTGTCCTATTATTGTGGTCCTGTTAATATTTGCTTATCATATGCCATTTTAGGAATTTTCTTCGTAGAATTTTAACTGTGGTAGGGCCACGCAACAGTCTTCTCTGTTGCACGAATCGTCAGGTCCGTCCGAGGAAGTACCAAGATCTCATAGAAGATGGCGTGAACAGGAAGTGCTACACTTCTGCGTTTCGTCTTGTGAGTGAGGTAGCCGGAGTCCACTTTACCCTTTAGCCACGTTTGTTGCAAAAGTCAATGGTCTTGTTTGCCACCTTCTCACAGAAAAAAAAATTGTATCGCACATAATCGGATTATGGACTTTATTCACATTAAATCAGATTCTGTCTGATCAACAGGAAAATCAATTCGCAGTTGAAAAACAGACTCGACTCGCATCCCACCATGAGGGATCTGATCATAAAGCTATCCAAAGTATTGTTTGAATCCCAGGAATACATTGACGCGGAAGTAGTAAGGGATGCGCTCCTGGCTTACATTTGCCACGACGCCCCCCTCCCTTGTATCGAGAAGAGAAAAGCGTACGGCAAGGACAAGCTCTCACTGAACAGGAGGCAGAGGAAGTATCGCGGGCAACACATGCCATCGAGGAATCTTCTAGAAGTCGACATCGACACGCTAAACATGGAGCTGGATTACATCAACAACCAATTGGATTTCAACAACGAGGTCGGCAGGAAAGCGAGGGACATCATCGGAAAACTGTACGACAAAGACAAGAGAGCTCCGTTAGACTTCGACGCGCAAATGGAAAGGGAGAAGCTGCTATACTACCAGCAGAGGTATTTGGACAACGCCGAAGGGTACGAAGACGTAGTAATCGTCAAGAAGAATCTGGACGCAGACTTTAACTTCCCGAACGACGCCCGAATGGACACGGACTTCGACGAAGACTACAGGGAGCCAACGCCGGAGAACATTGAGGACTTTTGCATACAGAAGGAGCACGTGATGTCCGCGTTCGCCTATCTGGAGTGGAGCTACAAGCAGGAGGTGAGGAATCTGCACAACAGGAGGCGGTCGCTCCTGTTAGCGTACGGTCTCATCCATAACATAGTCCAGAACATGATCCGGATGATATCGGAGAACAAACCGAAGTATGTCGTGTACTCCGGCCACGACAAGACCCTCCAAGCGCTGATACTGGCGCTGGGTCTGACCGGTTACCGGCACTACAACATCCAGTACGCCTCCCGAATGGTCTTCGAGGTGTACAGGAAGAGGGATCTACGCGACGAGTTCAAGTTCACAAAGAGGAAAGCGATCGCCCAGGACTTCTACTTCCGAGTCGTCTACAACGGCGAGGATGTCACTAATGAATTGAGCTTCTGCAGTAGCAGGCAGAACGTAGTTATGAAGGTCGTAGACCACGTCGACGATACGAAAATCTACGAAACTTACCTCTGTCCCATCGAGAATATTGTCAGGTTCATCCACGACGATTACTTTACCAGTTTCAACGTTACCAACTTCAAGGACGCGTGCTCAATATACGGTAACCCAAAACACACTATTTAATAATATATGAATCCGCTTTGACACGATCTAAATTTTCTTGACGAAAATCTTTGATTAAATGAAACTTGTGTACCTTACAAAGTCCACTTGGATAATTTTCTTCTTTTTCTCAAGCATATAAAATCTAAGAATCTCAGATGGTACCGATTTAGCAATCGATGATACACTTTTAATCAACCATGAAAGTGAATCAAAGTGAATTTCGAATAGTGGAACACTGGACAAGGTCACTTTGCTTGGAAGCCGTCAGCAATCGCGGTTTGATCAGTTTTGCCACCATCAAACTGTAAATTTATTTTGTCTAAGAAAACTTTCATCGTATCTAAGCTATAAAGTTGATCAATGATTTCCATGCGCAGAATAAGGAAGGCGTATAATGAAAGTATTCACTTTTAAGAATTGATGTTATTTAACTATATTAACTTCTTTATTACTCTAGTTTTCAATACTGAGTTTTTATATTAAAAAGAATTTAATATGCAAGAGATGTGAATCCAAGGAGATTGATCTGAATCAATGGCATTGTACTTAAAGTAATCACACAATTAAGAAATGGTATTTATGGTACCTATTCAGCATTTTATGATATGCATTGATTTTTACAAGCCATCATATCATTGTTCTAATTAAAAAATGTACTTACTGCGATGTTAAAAATCTGTTATTTAATAACAATGGTTATAATATTAATATTGTTTATTAATAAGAAATAAGTTAATTTACATATCAGGGCGCAACCATTTTTATTGATGGTATATCTTAATATTCGATTCCAGGATTGTACTTATTATATTGTACCTCTATTCAAATGCCTAATCGTTCAAAAGTATATCCGTTTTATTTATTACGCCGCGCAAAACAGATACTTTTCCGGGGTCAATGTTTACATTTTAAAAAATTGCCCGATTTTTTGGTGATAATCACAAAGCACAAACAATATTTGGTTTGTGTCTGGCACAGTGGTCAATATGCCGTTTGCCATATATCAAGAGGAAGAAAAAAATTATGATGTACTTAATATTTGTTTTCTTGATTGTGTTTATTGCGTTACTTGTATTTTTATTGAATAGCTTAATCTGCAATTTATCTTATATACCGCCCAAAATTGACCTTGATTTTAGGGTGTTAATATTTACATTTAAAAAAAATGCCAGCTTCTTCGTGATAATCTCGAAATAATATTGCTCCTAATCCCACCGTTAAAAATGTAGATAGATATTAAGATCTACTGAAAGTGAAATTCATTTATTTATACGTGATCTTTTGATTGCTCCAGTCAATTTATTTGACAAATATTATGATTTATTAAAGTTTTATTTTTTATATTGCCATATTTTAAAAAGTTTAAACAGCTTATTCAAACAGGTCATTTCCTATATTGTGGATTGACTCATCATAGCTAAAGTAATATTATGTTTAAAGGTATTAAATGGTAAATTATTAACAATCTCTTTGAGTTATATAAATATCAAATGAAGTAGGGGTGAAACATCACAAATATGAAATATATTTATTGTTTATTGAATGAAATTATAATTTGTTAGTCAAATGAAGTAATATCGATACACATTTCTAGGTGTCAGGCATGACATTTCTGTTGAAATTGTCAGAGACAAACCTTTATTAAATATGTATAGTGGTCTCTGTATTGCTCTGGGATTGTTTTACAATTTCGATTTTAGAGCAGGGCAGGTTAGAAAGGCCATATTTAGTAGTCGTATTAAATATTTAAATCTCTGAAGATCATTTGACACCTCAATTGTGATATAAGCAATTTTGAGATTAATTTAAACTTATTTAACTTAGTTATTTTTAGAAGAGTGTTACTAGATACTTATTTGCGTCCTAACATTTTATTTAATGTGTTTTTTTTTAAAGATAAATTATAATTTTGCTTTAGGTTTCACCACTGACTCACTACTGTGTTATTTAAATTATAATTTTAGTTTAAATGATTTTTAATTTTAAGAAATATCTAAATTAATAACCGCTTGCTACTACTCATTTTTTAATTCTCAAAGAAACATTTAAAGAATGTAATTACTTAAATATTATAGACAAACTAACATTTATTTTTCTATATGTAAAATTTTGTTACATAAGTTAAGAATTGGCTATTTTCTTTTCAAAAATAGATTTTTTACTCGGGCTGTAAAAAGCAATATTTTGCTTTTGATGATGTTAGTCTTCATTCAGTACATAGATCCAAGTTATGACATGCGCTATTAACTTAAAACTAAGAAAATGACGGAATTATCATGATAAAAATCCATTGTTAATCTTAAATTAGTACAGAATCTCGTTTAAGCGTAGTGTTTTAGAAGTTAGACATTTAAACATCACTCTGGTCTAAATCTTCATATCTAAAAGTAATTTAGCAACTGTTTAACAATATTTGTTGTTAAAGTGAAAAACCTAAATTGTATTATGAAATTATGAGACTGCACATAATTTATTGTAACTATTGCGACAATAGATATATTATATATACGATGTAAGTTAAATTATGCTGTCCGTGAACGCACTTACCGAGTTTCCGATGATGTAGAAATGGAAAAGTTATCTTGAAGAGGAATTAACATATCCCAATAATACTTAATAAATTAAACTGGTTAACCAATATGCTGTTTTTATATTCCAGTTACTTATAGCAGGTAAATCTTGTGTTTTATTGTTGCGTAACATTAAGGTTTCAGTTTATTTTTGGCTTTTTATATACTACGACAAAACATACCTGTCACGTATGGGAAGGTTGGTAGCAATTACCTCAAAACTATAATAACGTTAGTTATGTAATGCCCGTTTTCACCATTGATCCCTAACTTTATTTTAATTTCTTTTAGGTGTCCCTTAAAGCTGGAGATCGATTATACAGACAGAATTCCCCAAATATAATAATAAATAAATTCTCTTATTGAGTAATGATGCATTACATCGTATTTTTGTCTGTAGATAAATAAATAATAACTTTCGACGCTGGTTTCAATCCCGAAGATTCGAACCAGCCTATTCTGATTTCGCGCCCAGCGCTTTTACCAACTAAGCGGTCAATGACCTCCTGGTGCGAAATTATTCACATCTATCTACGATCCTTTTATTTTATATGTAATAATGTAGCATTGCTACATTATTTAGATATTGTGATGGAGTTGAAAGCAACTGCTTTTGCTGCGCACTTGAATGCCCTCTGGTGTTGCTGGTGTTTATGGTCGTTCGCCACCTTTTTGTGAACATATAATAAGGCCGGAATGACCTACAAAAACCCCAATCCACTGCCTCATAAAATGCTGGTACACAGAAATATCTAAAATGAGAAATTTTTAAGTTTCTGTAGTGCTAATCTCTGAACTTAGATGAAACATTAAAATTTGTAGAAAAAAGTAAGAAAAGGCTTTTTCCGCTGTGGCAATTGAACCCACGCCTTCAGGATTCGCGCCCAGACGCTTTAGCCAATAAGCTAAACGGTTGATTGCCACATCGATGAAAATCTCAACGTCTTTTATCTACATTGTCTTTTCGCATTGCGCATTCGTTAGCTTCCTTCTTTTACTTAAATTTATTTTTTTCCCACCAAGTGATATGGTCATAGCTTAGGTTGGGTAAGAACAAGGAGTTACCGAAAGTGTTAGGGCTACGCAACTGTTTCTACTGTTGCATGAATGGGTAGGTTTGATCGGGGAAGTATATTATAAGTATAATATTGGGCTTATAGAAGCCCAGCGTGAATTAGAAATATATACGTTCGCGTTTCAACGCAAGGGTCAACGCATTTGTAAGCCCTCAGGCGTTGTCAATGGTCGGCGGTGTCCTCTTAACACCAGGTGACAAAACCAAAAAACAAGCTTTTGTAGAAAAGCGGGGGGTACTTGGAGTTAATTGTTATAATATTTTAAGGGCATGTAATTATGTATACTGATAAAAGTAGAGTCATAAGGGAATTATCTTTAAAAGCACCCCACGCTTTTAGTAATTTTTTTTTGTTAATCACACTTCATAATTTTATTTTATTGAAAATTATTTTCTACTTTTAGTTAGGTTATCAATAAAAGCGTGTTTTTTATTTTTTAAACAATTTGAAATTCGTTCTTGGCATGATTTTATACTAAAATTCAAGTATTAGCCGACTATTAGAACACTACTAAGCCACTGTCTTGTCATTTAATACGTTGTAGGCCGCAATTCACCATAGAACGTTGTAACGTTATAGCGGCGAATCGAATTCAAAAGTGGCCTTGACAATGACCGCAGTGCATTATTGGAGGGCAAATTAGACCCGCATTTCAAATTTTTCACACTACAACGTAGTCTACGAAGAACTTCGTATCATTTGTTTTGGCGGCGTGAAAAATTGTATGAAATGTTTGGTAAAGGCTTGAATGCATTACCAATTAATTATTTCGAGATCGCTTTCGATATACATACATTTCCTTCTTTTCTTGCGAGTGAATATTTTTTGACATAGCATATGTGTCAGAAGTGTACAGGCTTGATTACGAATGTAGGCTCTCTTATATAGGACAAACAAAAAGATCAATTAAAATCAGAATAAAGGAACACGTAGCTGACGTGAAGCACCGACGGTTGAAAAAGTCTGCAGTTTGTGATCATATTTTAGACCACTCCAACCACTATATTAGATTTGATCAGCCGAAAATCCTCGCAAAAGAACACCGATTCCTTCCAAGGATGATCCGCTAAGCTATTGAAATAAAGAAACATCCTAATTTGGAGAAGATGGTTGGGGTTTATCATCTACTTGGGATACCATAATTTATAAAATAAAATCCAAGCACAGCACAATACTGATAAACCCCAGGTACCATAAGATCCTTTTGCGAAGATCGGAATAAAAATAAACAAAATAATTAACTATGACATCAATACGTGGAACAACTTAGTCAGTCCCGTGACCATGAATGCAAGAAAGGGTTCGAAATGTTGGGAATTTTAAATCAAAATAAAAAAAACGCGATTTCGGAACAGTTTCGGAACTCGCT